GAAGCTGGTGGCTGCTGCTAGTATCCATACTGTATTTTAAATAAAACTATAAAGCCATACGTTTTCTTTTCACATCTATTTCTTGTAAAAGTTATGCTTAAAAAACAAGCTGTAGGAATTCTAAAACAGGGTGCTACTTTTAACCACCCTGTATGGAGCATTTGCGTGTGCAAATATAACTGATCGATACTAGTTAAAAACACGCGTCCACTTTGTAACCGGTCGTTCTGGAATACGCTCGCATCCTCTTAGAGTCCATTTGTTTCACTGTTGTTTTCATTTGTTCGCCGACCACTCTTCTCATTACATGAATAGCCCAACCATGTTTTGTTGCGATGTGTATTGCTTTGGATCTCACTTTTGAAGTTGGGCATTCCGCAGTCGGGCGTAATGTTGTGTTCACGCTGGTTATATTTCAGAACGTACCGTTCAAAAAAACCTTGACTTCACAAGAATGAAATGTCAACCAATGTTTCAACCGAGGAAGACGAAGACGTCGAAACGTTAGCCGAAAATAAATATATTTATCAACCTCGTGCAAGCTTATCAAGAAAGAATACATAATGTTTCAACTGTCTAGCAAAGCGTTGGGAAAACTGCCAAGTTACCACGAAGTTTTGGACTCATTCATTAATCCGTGACTTCTCCGGAATTTACGAACGCCATCCCTACTGCTTGCCTTCTTCTTTACAATTATTCCATCGCATTTTTCTATATTTCCACTGAATACCATATGCAAACCTGTAAGGTGGTCCCTGTAATAAAAAAACCGTCCACTTCGACTTGTTTGCTCTTCTACACTTGAGAGATTTCGTAATGAAGAAGATTTCTTCTAGTTTATTCGCAACATTACCATTTATCCGCTTTTCTCAAATTCTTTGAGCATCGTATGATCTTCGCATGTCCTTTACGATGATTTTTGTTCTTCGTCAATACTCGAGGGCACGTGTGGCGCGGTGGGTCGGAGGTGCCTCGCAACACACACGTGGAATCGATCCCCGCGCCCATACCCACCTAGCCTTCCACCCCTCCGGGGTCGGCAAATTGGTACCAGACTTGTCTGGGAGGATAGCAACACTGGCTCGATACATCGGTAGGCCACCGCGAGTCATTGTAAAGGCCAGATATGCATTCAATCACCTCCAACAATACTTAATGAAATCGAATGCATGCCGCATCTATCAGGGTTTGATCAACGCCGAGAGCTTTACTTCCTACCCTTTTATCAATACTCAATGCCTTCTAAATAATTGAGAACTTCAGAACATGAGCTCACTAGAAGAGAAATTATCGTATCGCCTTCACAGGTGTACACAACTTCTTTCTCAAATATCTTTATCCTAACTTTTTGAACGAAAGTTCAAAAAACGCAAATAGAGTGAAACTTCAAACATTTCTCGCAAATACGGTATTCTGCATTGACAAGGTTTTCAAGAACACCATGGGACCCTATTGTCGTCACTCGAAATACGAGCTACAACGAGAAAAGGATGACCAGGCTTTGTTTGTTTCGAAAACCTAGCGTTCCATTTCGATACAAGGTGTAAACTTTTGTCTTCTTGACAAAAACGGGTAGATTTTGACGACTTTTGTTGCGGGTAGAAAATTGGGCCGACGTGAGTTAACGCCAACTCATAACTAGAGGTGAAAAGAAAAGAGTGAAATACATGGAGCAACTATACGGAGTTAGAGATGGGATGCCAAATGTTAAAAATGCTCATCACATCCGAAGTTGCCCCTTCGAGGATTAAAATTTGCAGAAAACTGAGAACGAAATCTACGTTTACGAACATTTCGAGACAAGGACGTAAGAAAAACAGCAACGAAGGATGCAATGGAGAACAAAATCGTATCCTGCTGGGCGACACGCTAATTGCTCAATGTTTTTTGCACCCTAGCGCAAACTTTGACTTAAAAAAGGGAAAAACCTTGTCCCATGGGCTCCACAAAATCAGAATTCCATCTTGGTATGAAAGAAGGGTTTATGTTTTACTACAAAAGATCTGTAAACTCTAGATGCTTTTATATTAGTAAAGCTTAATATTGGCCCAGATATACTCGTTTAAAGTGATAACTCTCGAATAATTTTGATCACATAAGTGCTGCAATCAATAAATATCATCATTAATTAGTTCGGAAATATTTGGCTCAATGGTGAGACTCCTTTTTAGTGATTAAAGTTCGTACAAAAATACACCATATACGGCAACTATTGAACCTTAACAAATAAATTACCCCCCTCTTGTGATGAGTTACTTGGCAAAAGCTTTCTTTTTAAAAAAAAAACCTTGCCATCTGCACATCTACTAAGAGTTCGTGTAGGGCATTGTTAAGAGGTGCACTGCAATCTATGCCCTAGTAGTTGGTGCGATAACGTGCAGCGGACTCACCAAGCCTTTCACCCCTCCGATCTCGGCAAAATAAGACCAGACTGGCCTGGGAGGATAGCACTACTGACTTAATTCATCAGTACACCACCGCAATTCACTCTATGGGCCAAGTGTGCATTGAATCACCTTACGGTGCTTGATAAAGTTCAATGCATGGGCAACTCTCAAGGAATCATCAACGCTTTATCCTTTTATCCTTTATGCATCTACTTTCTCTTCACATTCGTTGTACACATGCATAAGCGTTAGGCTGTCGTCCTCGGTTACTGTAGTGATATACGTAGATTCAATATTTAAGGTTTGGATTGGAGTGCTCATAAATATCACCATTTCGATTCTTCGAAATGACAGAAGCGAACTAAAGATAGGATTCACGGTCTGTTTTAGTTATTGGTGGACTAGAAAAGCATAATCAAAACGTATTCCAGACAACGTATTACCAGCTTATCTACTTGGGCTTGTACTTCAATCAAGGGAACACCTTCTGTCGTTCCTACTTCATGCCGAGATATTGGCTGCAACCGTTCATCGTCGCCTAAAAGGTTTGTATACCAGTTGACTCTTTAGTAAAGTCAGTCAGTTGGTTAAAGGTGAGACTAAACATTCTCCTAGATGCCGGGGCCTTGCTTAGAAGCAAAGAACTCTAGACATCTACCTCAAGTAATTAGTGAAAGTTTCTGAAGAAAAAAGTCATCCATATATCTAATATATAACAAATTGCAAGAAACGGTTATGGGTTATTACTAGCAGAGCTAGAACGCTAAAAAAAAACTATTTTTTTCTATTATTTTTGTTTTATATGATCCGTCTTCACATCTACTTTGCGAATCCCAGCATACCTCACATTCGATTCGTTTCCTCGCACCCATTGTCCACGAACATCTCCAACATTTTTACGTGTAGCTTCAGTTGCTCCTTGAGAATTTCCACTTCATCATCTTGAATGTCGTAGAATGCTGGTCGAGCAATTCTCCCTGGAGACTTGAGACAGCCGGGCTGGAACGTTCCCAATTGAATTGCACAGAGTGATTTTCTTCCCAGACAAGCCCGGTACCATGTTCCCCACTCCAGAGGGATGAGAAGCTTGGTTAGCCAGGAATCGAACTGACACCATGATCGTGATGACGGACATCATTACCACTGTGCTATCACTCCCTTTTTTTAAAAAATAACACATCCTTAGGTCAATTATGACGAAGGGACATGTTACCCTACAAAGGTTCTTTTGAAAAGGCAACATTAAAAATGCTAATGGGTCCATATTTTCTTGAAGATTCCTTTCTCTGACTATTCACACTTTACTTCCAGGACCACCTTTGTCGACAACGTTCAATATAAGGAAAGCAGCAGTTGTTATAATAGCATTTGCAATATTCGCTTCTTTTATGCTATTACTAGTTTATTTCTCACAGATATATGTAAATTGGAGCAAAATTGTAAAAGGGGAATGGAATCAAAGGAAGTACCGTAAAGTACCGCATGTCCAGTACAGCATCGATAGGATAACGCTGAATGGACACATATGCAGCAGAAATATTTAAGTCATAAGTTTCTCGGCGAAGATACAATATTATAACTGCTCAGCGGTAAGAACGAACTTGACTAGAAACTCTTTATTACACGAGATATCACAATCACTTAGCAATGTTTTCCACCGGAAAGCCTACAGCACGAACTCTGCATGGTGTCTATTGTGCATTAAGATCAATTCGTACCTTTTGTCGCCAGTGCATTGTTAGGATGTTCACAACGCGAATCTTTATCTAACAACACTGTCTATTAGCATTCTTGCTCTGATCTCACAAGTGGAAAGTACGGGATTTTCCTCATTGCTTATAACCATTTCTGGAGCTTTGTTTGTATAATAAGTCGGATCAATATTCGTTAAAATTTACTAAATAAAAAGTTCAAGCAGAGGGCCAATCACTAGTACAGTGAAAAATTACAAGGCTTATGTATTGTTAAGCGACAGCACATCTGTGTACTCTATATGTAGCTCATAGTGACAACAGCGTGCTAATAAAACATTCATAAGTGGAGAAGTTCAGCTCAGTATCAAGATCATCTAATCTCATTATCAGTCCTCACCTTCAGCTAGCATCCATTTGTACCTATTAGCTGTCCTCTAACAAACCCATTCTTAGAAAAAACGCTAAGGACAAGACCGACCATCATGAGGCGATCAATTGACACAGTTTGCGCTAACTCAGCTGTGCCTGACAATTTTGAAAAGAACGTCTGTGTGAGAAACAAGGCGAAATAGCGTAAAATTCCTATGATTTCGCTTATGTAAAGAAACTTAGATGAACTCCGCTTAAGAACCCTGATTTTACTATCGTTCAGAGAAAACTATATATATCGATCACATAAGAGTGAGAATTCAGGAGTAAGCTCACCCTGCAGGTCAACAGAGAGTTCTTCGAAAATGTTTTCTAACTCAAAATATATCCAAATACATGATAAACTAAAGTTAACTAAAACTGGAGTACCAGTGCCAAGGTTACACAAAAGCTGAAGAAAATAACAAATATAATTGTCAACTTGAAAGTAGTACATGCATGACTTCAATAGTACGGCCGACTAAAATAGTTTCTAATAGCGAACGTTCCTTTAAAGCTGCGATGGAACGCGCTCTATTGGGATAGAGCGCATCTGAGCAGCAGGATGACCAACCTTCGGTGCCTCGACGGAGAGATGTCCAGCATCGTTTAGCTGGGTACGGAGTGCCTCCAGATCTACGTTTTCCGGCAACGTCCACTTTCGAACGAATGATCTTAAATGGATTATTTCAGCTGTGAGTTAAGGCACAACTATTAATTGTGTTTACAATATCTCACCCACTCTTGACCTTGTGAACTAGGAATTCCATCGTTCCACAATATGTAATACACCATGAATCACCTTGAACTCATCAAATAGTTCTTGGAGATTTTAGACAAGTGGAAATATAAGCTTTAGCACAAACCAGGCTTTGGGCACTTGACTACGCCGGTCATGGAATTGCTCAAGGAGCATGCATGCCATCATAAATCCTTTTGTATGAGTTTCAATGGACTAACGGTCGCTCGTAGTTCGAGCAAAAACTCTCGCAAGAAAATTGCTCAAAGTAACTCAACGACGATCCGATAAGGATTTGATCTGCGGTAAATTACTCGACTGAAGTAGTAAGATTTGCCTTGGCCACTATGTTGCCCCGAACTGCCCTCTCCAAAATTACCACAAATTCAAATCATTTGGGCAAAACTATCTGGGAATAATACAATTCCAAAGAGGACATATGAAATAAACTCGATCACTATATTAAAACCTTGAACCTTCATCACTCATGGGATCAAATCATTATGGAATCGATGGGTCGAGGCAGTCCATTCCCATGAAGATCCCCACTACGTTAAAATAGATTTCAAATGAATGGCTGCAAAAAAAGAGCCATTTTCTATTATTATCAGGTCCTGAAACTAACCTAAAATAATGAAAACAGGCATTCCTGATATTTATACATATACACATACATATATATGTACATATATGCACATATATATACAAATATATCGAGACGCGAATAGCACAATGGTACTGATAGAACGGTGACCATCACGAGAACGGTGCTGGTTCGGTCCGTCACCAGGTTCACCTAGGTTCTCAACCCTCCAGGATCGGGAAACTGGCATTGGACTTGTACAGGAAAAAAACTCTCTCCGCAATTCAATTGGTAACGCGACTCGACCAGCATTCTACCTACGACATCCAAGATGAAATGGAAATCCTCAAGCAGCAGCCTAAGCCATACGTAAAAGTTAGAAGGCCTACGTTGATGATGGGTGCGAGGAAACGAATCGAATACGCGAAGTTCAGGAATTCGCACAGTCGACGTGAAATAAATAGAATATATTATATATAAAGGACAAAAGGGCAAAGCTGCCAGCCTTTATTATCAATCCCTGAGAGATGCGCCATGCATTCAATTTCATTAAGCATCGCTAGTGGTGACTGATGGATATCTCGCCTTTACAATGACTCGCGGTGCCCTACCAATGTATCGAGTCACTGCTGCTATCCTCCTAGACAACTGTGGTACCAATTTGACAAGCATGGAGGGAAGGAAGGCATGGCAGGCCTGCGAAGCGGGATCCAACCTATATGTATTGCATGGTGCCTCTAACCACTACGCCATATATAAGAGTCACGCCCCGCCGAGGCCAACGTGTTCGAAGCGAACCACCACGATGGAGGGAAATTGAGTGAGAAAGAAACGAGTGGAAAACATGCTGGCGTTCGCACTACCAGTGAAAACTTACCATCAACGTATTCAATTAAGTAAATATAAGCGTATAATAATAACTACTAATTATGTGAAGAATATACAGTGAATCTTTGACAAAGTGAAATACAGTAAAGTAAGAAACAAAAACAATTCACCTTTCCAAGGAACTTGTGTCATCCTTGTGTTGATGTTTTCCCTCGACAGTCAGCACCTTCCCTTCTAGGTGAACCTTCAGTTCTTCGGGGCGAAATTGGGATACATCAAGCGTTACAGCAAATTTGCTATCATCGTTGACCATCTGAAATGTTCTTTTAACTTTACGGACCAAAAACCAGTCTGGTCGATCATGCATATCGTTTATACTACTGAAATAAGAGGTTTTTAACCATGAGGTTTCTAAAACCGTTCAACCACTGAATTAAAAAGAGACAACCTGCTGGGCTTCATTTGCGACGTGCAACATCGACTGATCTGCATTTCTCCAATACGGGAAAAGGCTTCTCTCAAAACGATCGAGATCACGGAAGTAGTCGTCCATCATACGGTTCATAGAACGAGGCCACAGATCCATTGTTGGTGATGGCAATACGCTAATATGAAACAAATAAATAACGCATGCAAGACGCTAAACTTAAAGAAAACCCAAACTTTAGGCTTTCGGTGAAGAAGTCAAAAATGAACACTTCTGATAGAACGCCTCCAACACGGAAAGTAAAAAGTTTATATTACCATTGCCATAGATTTCTGCCAAAAACACATATTAAAGTGGAGCTCATTCACGCACAAAAGACCATAAACATGATCGGAAACCATCACCGAAGGACGCTGTGGCTATACAGAGAACGAAAAAGCAAGCAACGGAAGTAACGATATACTACCGAAATGAAGGAAAGGAAACATAGAATCAGCAATCTACGGCTGATTCTGATATCAACTGAGCGATTTCACTGAAAATTAGCCAAGGTTGAATAGCCTCTCTTCCATCTCTTGAATAGTCATCTCTTCCAACCTTAAAAGTTGCTCACCTGGACGGCACGAAAATCATTGTAGCTTTCGCTTAGCATCATAGGAAAGAAGTATCATCATCGAGTCAGCAAATTCCTTGTTAAGCATTTGAGCGGTGGATCTCTGTATACACGCTGTCAGTTAGGTAACATGGAACGGCCTATCACCTTCATGCATATTTACGTCACTTCCAGTTGTTCTAGAGGGGCGTTAACGCAACAACAACCGTGGTAAGCGCGGGTACACGTGTCCTGTTTTCATGAGGCCACCAATGCTTTTATGCATTCTGCAGTAGGTAGCTTCTTTCTGATAAGCATTCTACTCAGATCGTCCACAACCTCAGTTTCTTTACCCAATACGCTGCTGGTTGGATCAGAGAAAAATATTTTCTCCCTTGAGCGTAAATACACCATCGGAAACAAAACTGTTTCATACAAAGACCACCAAAGTCTGAAGAATAGCGAGGTTCACGCAGTTCCATGTTGGTTTACCAGTTGGGAAGTGGCTGGAGACAAGAGACAAGCATTTCTTAGTGATTTATTCTTCCGTTTTATGTGAAAATTCTTGGTGAATAATTATCAACAACGTGAGCCTTCCCAAAAGCCGATAGAACCAGTAGGATTTGAAAAGACGACGGCTTTCTTAGTTATGTTAGTTAACTTGATGAAACTTTACAGCTTAGCTATCTTCTGGAAAAATGACTTCGAATGGAGGCAATAGAACCACAAAGATGCTTAGGCAAGAGTAAAATCCGAAACCCCAGCTTGACTTCGAACCAGCGACTACCCTTACGGGTGGGCTCACGTTCTATCCTCTATGTTAAGGGTAATCGCGGGATCGAAGTCCAAATGAGGTTCCGAGTTTTGTTCATATCTCAAGATCTTTGTGGTCGTGCTATTTCACATAGTACTCCGCCATAAAAAAAGGAGTGGCAGTAAATTAAACTTGAAAAACGATAGATTTCGCGTACAGGTTTGAAACAACATCCAGATTGGTAGCGTAAAGTATTCTTCCAACAATGACGTTCTCCCTATCATCAAAAAATTCTTAACGGAAGACTACACGATCCGATGCCTCGAAAAGATCCAACGAAATCGTGAGCGCACTCCGTCCTCCTGATGAATTCGTAGCTTTCCGTCACTACAACCAAAGTATATACGAAACATTTCGTGATCCATTTTGCCTGCAAACACATATAAAAAAATTACAAACAACTGCGATTTACTATTGAACCTGTAAAAGCGAAGCAGCTGAGTACGGCGCCAAGTGAAACTGTCGCTCTTTTCTGCGTAATCTCAGCCTTGTGTAATTAAATCTGGTAGGAACAATAACCGTAGAATGACGCTTACAAGCGACAATAGTCAGAAACTAAACATTCCTAGGTAGGTGGTGACCAGGGCTGAACCTGAAAAAAAGCTGGCCGAACTGAAAAAAAATCCACCATACAACAAGTGCAAATAATGAATAAATGTACTATCTAACCAAATTTATTTTTTATTTTACATGACCCGTCATCACTTTGGCTGTGTGGATCCCGGCACTTCTTGCAGTCGATTCGGTCTCCACGGATTCGTCGCCCGGAAAGCTCTTCCGTAGAATGCTAGCTGGTTGAGTCTGACTGCACTTAGAATCTTGGAATTATTCAAGCTACAGCGTTCCCCCTCAACGGTGGACGTGGCGGTCTTTCAGTGGAGAGTACCATAAAATAGACCACATCATAGTAAATCGAAGTAAATTTTACCTAACCGATGTCGATGTTGTCGCAAAATTCTACATAGGATCAGCCCGTCGCCTCCGCGCACGATTTCATTTCTCGCGGGAAGAAGCCGATAAATTCGAAAAACGAAGTCGCAAAACCACAGTAAACTAGGATTTACTCAATTTATCAATCGGCTGTTGTGAAGATATCGATAACATCGACGAGGACTACTATCGGCTCATTCAACATCTTAACAGCGCTATAGAAGCTGAGAGTTCGGAAGTCACCAAGAGACATCTGCCTCCAGAAACACTCGTGCTGATACGCCAGCGGAGAATCGCAGGAGCTTTAGCCAACAGCAAACACACATCGGAATTTGAAAAACAATGCAAACAGGAGATAAAAGGACACCTTAAAGAGAAAGGAGCAGCAGTAATGGTCAAAGTCAGTTCATGTATACGATGGAATCAGATCAAATAAAAGGAACTTGTAACTCAGACATGAAGATTTCGCAATGGACAAAGTATTTCTTGTTATGAAATACTAGAAACAGTGTCGTTTTCTTGCTCAGCAATCGCGAGGTTTTTAAACAGCATACATTTACTTCCATAGAAAAACACAATACAATACAACGCTAGCTGACGTTTCGGCAGTATCGCTTTCTTCAGAGCCTGGAAGCATACCCTTCCAGGCTCTGAAGAAAGGTAAACCCACCGCTTTTTCGTGACTTCCAATTTTTCAAGAAGCTGTTGATTATGTAATTGCTGGAGAGTTCTTCGTCTTTTTGTAAGTGTTATTGAAGCGTTTGGCCTAGTAGATTGTATACTAGTATACCCTTCCAGGCTCTGACGAAGGCGATACTGCCGAAACCTCAGCTAGCGTTGTATTGCTTTTTGTTTTTCTATGGAAGTAAATGTATGCTGTTTAAAAACCTCGCGATTGCTGAACAAGAAAACAACACATTCATATTCCAATGCCGAGGTTAATAGAAAGTCGATCCTGGGAACTAGAAACAGTGCATCAGAATGAACCCATTTTAGGTGAAATGCCTTAACTCGCCGTGACCACCCAATCGCGTGAAGGTTAGGGCAGCTGGAGATCTGACGTTGGCTTACAAACCAGCAATGCAAAGGAACGAGAGTCAAAGGCATAGAAGTGTTCAAGAGGAAGATAGCAGGTGAACTATTACGTTTTTTCGGCAGACCAGTGCTTTAAACTTCAAATGATTTACGACAAACATCGCTATCAACTCGGTAAATGAAAGCGAGAGCGGCCGAAAAAGCGATCTTCCTCAGTGATTCAAGAACTTTAAGAAAACCCAACCAACAATGCAAACAAAGCAAAGTGTCGACCATTTCATTGGGGAAAAACGATCATTTTCGAGCATTCGGGTCAAATTACACCAACAGGGTTACTAAAGTGAAGTAATGTTACTATTTCATCAAATAAACACTTAGAACCAATGTAGTAAACCCACAACGTCAAAATAACCACTCAGGAAAAACCGAAACATTGCAAACGTTGGACTGAGTGAACTACCGGTCACGGTGAGGTCATTCGATGCTGTGCGGCTAGTTGCATCACGCGATGTTTACACGATGTAGAGAACGTTCGCGAACGGGGCGGAGTCACACCGTCGTTCAGTGAGCGTGGCGAGTGCGGAGGCGCGGACTCTTGCACCGCGAGTATCGCGAAAATCGCTGCCCTCGAGTATATAAGCCGACTTGGTACTGCCGAAGATCTCTCGAATTCTGTGTTTCGTCGTCATGTCGCTGTGGGTTCGTCCAGCCAACATTTTACCTCGTCGTTTCGCCGTTGAATGTTTGAGTGACCTTCGTCAATTGGAGAGGAAAGCGCGTCATGTGGAAAGGATGCTGCGCGATTCACTCTGTCGCACGGTTCCAAACGATGTTCTGGATAAATCTGTCAGTGAGGAAAACTCCGTTTTGCTAGGAGAAGTTTCCACATGGGCGAAATTCCTAATCTATCGGCGGTATTTAATCGTCATTGTATTCATGTCTTATTCACTATAACAACCACGTCAGTATGTTTAAGCCCATCTATGCCTCTGTTCCGAGGAAATGCTGTGATACGATCTGTTACGTATTACAATTGAAGTAACCCATTCGTCAACATCTCTAGGCGTTGATCAGTCTCTGAGGGATGCGCCATGCACTCGACTTCCTTAAGTATCGTTAGAGGTGATTGAATGTATATCTGGCCTTTACAATGACTCCTGGTGGCCTACCGATGTCGAGCGTGGGCTGCCATCCTCCCACATAAGTCTGGTACCGATTTGCCGACCATGGAGGGATGAAGAGCTAGATAGACCATGGGCACGGGGATCGATTCCCACGTCGGTGTTGCAGTGCGCCTGCGACCACTGCCCCACATGCTCCTCTTTGTACCTGTCAAATATACAGAATTATATACAACACGCCGTGTTTAAAATGTTGATATCTTCACCAGTTTCCAGTGCACATTGTTTAGATTGTTGATAACGAGTCGAAGTTCGCCGTTTCTATCGATGTGTCAAAGTTCAAGCCGAAGCATTTGAAAGTCAACATGTTGGTCGCTGTCTAACCATTGAAGGAAAAGAAGAGCTGGAAGAGGAGAACGGTTATTCAATGAGGTTAGAAGCAACTGGCGTTAAAGTGTATGAACTCGATGCAGACACTGTAGTCGTCTGCCGCCAGGTGCCTAGTTGTTAGTTGTAAAGACCTGTGATTAGTGCAATGCTTCGGTTGTTATGATACTTTAGGACAACCATTAAATTCCTCGAACAACTTCCTAGTGACTTGAAAGACCGACTTTCTATAAGCCTCGGCATAGTTGATATATTTACTTATATGATCTTATGCACTGACCTTAAGCTGACGCGTGGTTGGTCCTGTACCAATGTGCCTTGTATGTGGTTGCCTGCTGCGAGGTTCCCAGTTGTAAAGATCTGTGATTCATGCTGTGCTTCTTAAATGTCCTTCGAATCATGTGAAGCCTTAATATTTAAATATCTCCAACTACTTCCTAGTGCTTTATCGACGCCACTACAGAGTTTTCACTCGTCAGTTTCTGCTGCCGGAAGATGTTAACCTCGATGCGATTCGTTCCTCTCTCACTGATAATGGCCAACTGGCAGTCGAAGCGCCAAAACTCACTAAATCGCTTCAATCTGGCGGCGAAACCATTCCAATCCAATAAGTGGCCAAAAAGCTGTAGAAAAATCGCCATTCCAGATGAAGAGCCGGCCCGTTTGATTTACTTGTTAAGATTTCTTGTGGTTTTCTCTTAAATTGAGTCTTTTTTATTTGTGGATGGCGTAAATACTTTGCCAATAAACTTTATGTTAATGTGTCTCGACGTAGTTTCTATGCTGGACCCATCAGTCGATATTTCCAGAACAGAATAGTTTTCCTCAGAGTTGCAAAAGGTTCATTATAAACCAGGAACACTGACTTAACGATCTCCAACTTTTTCCTTTGGGTTGGTTAAACAGGCAAGTCTACTTTCCCAAGCCAACGACTTTGGCAAAGCTTGAAGGGTCTGCGCGAGAAGTTATGCCTTCCATAGAACAAGAATTCCTAATGAAATCAGTTCATGCAGCTCCTCAGCGGTTTGAAAAGCTGGTGGCAAGTGCTGATATCCACATGTCGTGCTTTAAATAAAATTATAAAGCCATACTCTTTCCACTCGCATTCATTTCTTGTAAAAGTTATAGTTAGGAAATAAGCTATAAGAATTTTAAAATAAAGAGTTATTTTCCAGCCACCCTGCATGAAGCATTTGCAGCTGCAAATGTGACGGATTGATAATAGTTAAGAACACGCTTCCATTTCACAAAATGGTCGTCCTGGAAGACGCTCGAATCTTCTTCAACTCCACTTCGCTGTTGCTCCCATCCATCCACAGGCGACTATTCTCATTCGACGATTCTTTTAAAATTTCTATTCTATACGACCCGACTTCACTTCTATTGTGCCGATTGTGCACTTTTCATATTCGGTTCGTTTCCTCGCGTCCATCATTCACGAAGCCCTTCTAACATTACCTTGTGGCTTCGGCTACTGTTTAAAGAATTCCGTTTCTTCTTGAATATCGTATAATGCTATTCCAGTCCATTCTCCTTGGAGTCCTGAGATAGCCTGACCGGAGCGTTCCCAAGTGGACTGCAAAGAGTGGTTTTTTCGGACAGGTCCCGTAAGAGTTTCTCGACCCCGGACGGATGATAGGCTTGATGAGTCTGGGGACGGACGAAAGATCTGTAAATTTGAATGTTTTTATTCACTTTACACATCCTTCGTCCTTGATGTTCTACACCGCCTTTGATCGGTCGGTCATTTCTTCATTCCTATTTCCATTTTTGACTACACGTTTAGTACTTTCTCCAAATGAACTAATTGGAAGATCGAACATAGGAATCATTGTCGAGGAGGAGGTACCTCCCTCGGATCCATGCCGTGGTGAACAGCTAGAAACACCCTTGCAAGGTCCATTCAGAGATCCAAGGAATCTAGAATTGCTCAACTGGAGAGAGGTCAACCTCAGTACGCCGCACCCTGTGTGCTTCCGTCTCTGACGTTCGACGGTGGAACGACAGGTGAGATCTGCATCTGATGAGCACGTATACGATAAGCCATGAAAATTGTTTCTTACTGCGCGTGTATAATACCAGAACACTCTACTCAGACGACGATCTTCGCGTCCTTCTTGAAAGCGCTGATAGCATAAATTTCCAAGTGGTAGCACTGCAAGAAATAAAGTGCAAGAAGGTTGAAATCTGCCAATTAAACAACGGGACCTTGTCATTCGAACAGAGGAAGTTCTGTTACGAAACGTCGGTGGGGCAAGCTTTGTCGTCCACCTGTCCTTTTCCCATCTTGTTTACTTATACGACATCCTTCCCACTCGAATGGCCGCTCTCGGCCTTCAATCAACGCGTCATAAGAAGATGGCAGTCATCAACTGCTACTTGCCGACCGACGAAACTGATGAGTGCGAATTAGATGCGTGCTATTATTATATGGAGGAAGTTATCCGCAACGTTAAAACGTATTATATAAATTTTTTGTTGGAGATGTCAACACCAGCATGAAAAAGGTCAACGAGAGGGGATATGTGACTGGAAAATTGTATGTATTAGAACGTATTGTATTAGAACGAAGAGAGGAGTGGGAACAGTCTTGCTGAACCCCTGCCTGCAGCACGCCTCTTCTACGGAAACTTGTCCTTCCAGAAGAATCAAAGCCGCCGATGAACATGGGAGTCTCCTAATGGCTCGATTCGTGCGATGATTAACCATATTCTGACAAGGAGAAGATAGTACCTATTTGACACAACGGTAGTCCTATCCTTTTTATACTAGTTTAGAAGAGTTTGGCTGTATTTGGCGAAAACATTTTGAGTGAAATCCTATCCAGACGTGGAACGAGCAGGTTAAGAAAGACTAGACGAAGACTACCCCCTGCTTGTCGAAAGACTTCAAAGTTGTGCCAAATTCGCCTCGCTTCAATTAAGAGGATCAGATTGCATCTGCATTAACACTAAGGAGTTCCCAAGAAAGCAGGGAAACTTAGGCCTAATTCCAATGCAGCACGTTTAATGCAGCTAGTAATAAATACCAGCGACGGAAAACTTTGCAGAAAGATCTGCATCGTCGCAGGCAGAAAAAGCTATTAGAAGCAGCACAAAAAAGGACCAGTCTGAAAAAAATGTCGTCGGTACTTGTGCGACAATAATGTTACGTTGACAGCTATGATGAACGAAGGTGGGATCACAGAAAGCGCAAAACGTGATACCATATAAATAGCGGAAAAGTTTTACATCAATGTTTTCCGTCCCACAACGACCGTCCCAGACACTATAACTCGCGCTTAAGGAAAACCACTTCGAATCCATCTATCTCAGCTTCGAGTTGTGATGGAAAGCATGGAAAAAGGCACAGCTCCAGAACCTAGTGATATCACCGCTGAATTTCTTATGCATGCAAGGCACAATTTACACCAACTTCTCGCGACCCATATGACATTTCACCCTTGAGGAAAAATACCAGACCAGAGGAAGACACTGGGCACGGTAATTCGGCCTAAAACATTTGACCAGTGGGATCTTCGTAACTATCCATCGGTATGCTTGTTGAGTGTACTCTACAAGCGCTTCAACCAAAATAACTTACGGCACATATCGAGGAGATTGGATGAGAACAAACCAATTCAGAAAACAGGTTTTCAAAAACGATTTTGCTGCGTGGACCACATCCAAATCGCGTCCTGGGTCATTGAATCTTGTCCTGAGCACTACGTGCTTTTAGTCTTGAATTTTATCATCTATAATAAATCCTTTGACGACGTCGAAAAGAATCCGATCCTATCCGCGCTCTTCGACCAAGAAGTGGACCCGACACACAAGGAACTCTAACTAACTGTAATCGGAAACGCATTTCGAAAATACACCTCTTCCATGGACCCATTGCAAAACCTACAGAAAAAGGGGTTCGAAGGCGATACCATATCGCCAAATTTGTTTAGCGCCGCACTGCAGCGGATAATGAAGTCGCCTGATTGTGATGAAAAACGCATACGTATTGATGGAAAATTGCTATCAAACCTCCGTTTCGTCGCTAAAATCATAATTTGCTGAAGAAGTAAGCACAGACGATGATCAATAAGCTTATTAAAGCGGAAAGAAAAGATCAGACTACACATAAATTGGAAGAAGACCCAGTCCATGAAAACCCATGATGTGAAGACGATCAGAATAAGATGGATAGTTTTCTGACTGCAGGGACCAGCTCATATGTATACCATGTTTAACGAACATGGAGAACAGCATGAAGAAGGAATTACACAGAGCGGACGCAGCTTGAGCCGCATTTGCTCCTCTTAAAGAAGCCAACGATCAACTGAAGGACCTGAAGAGCCGCGTCCACGTTTTCCATCCAACAATCTTCTGGGAGCACTGATATGAAGAAGAGACGTGCCGCACACTACTCACAGAACGTTTGAATAACGTCTTCTAAAATATAACCAGTACACACAACATCCTGACAGAATGTGTAGCTCTGATCTTCGAAACCCCTCTTCGAAATCGATGAGCATACCCATCGATAGCGAAACATAGACGGATCGGTCACATAATGAGAAGGGAAGAAGACAGGTGGTTGAATAATTTTTTCTACTTCTGTTCAGCAAACACGAGGTGTTGCTTAATTTTCTCTATTTACATACAGTTTCGGCGGATTTCGCCTTCTTCAGAGCCTGGAAAAAAACAGATGAAATAGAAATGTGGAAATTGAATGAATGAATTGAATGAATTGTGTGCATTCCTACAGATGGATGAAATGAAAGAATTATAGAGTGGACTCCACGAGCACAGAACGCTTTGTATGACCACCTATACGTTGGACGGACGTAGCCATAGTTAATTAGCAGTACTCTCCGCTGCAGCTGTTTTACAGATCGTGGTGTGAAACTCTCACCTGCCACCATGTTAGAATCAAACAACCACAATGACAACTATTTTGAGACAAGGAAAAGAATGGAAAACGTGATGGGATCCGGACAACTCGTGAAGACGGACCGTCGGAATATTGAAGTAACTTCTACTTCACTTAACGAAGGTCAACATGGACTGAGCTACGTTCGTTTATGGTTGAAAATGTCAAATTCTTCTGATTAGATACATGCTGAATTCAATGCATTTCGTCACGAATATGTTAAGAAATATTTGACTCATTAATGAGACTCAATTTTGCGATCTGAGCTCCTATAGTAATGGAGGACATGAGTACACACGGTAATCTTTGAACCGCAACATATTAAACCCTCCACGATTCCATCTATGATCGGTTAATTAGTGGTAGATTTTTAAAAAAAAACCGTAAATCATTACACCCATACTTGGGGTGCGTGTAGAGCAGTGGCTAGAGGTGCCGCGCAACACATACCAACTCACTGGTTCGACCCTGTTCCCTGGACTCACAAAGCTTTCTATCCCTCCGAGCGCGGCAAATTGGTGTCAGGCTTAACTCATAGTAGTACTGACTCGGCACCTCGGCATATCACCGCAAGTTGTTGTTTAGGATAGATATGCATTCAATCACCTCCAAAAACGATGCTTGATAAAGTCTAAAGCATGGCCCCCCTCAGGATTCATCAACGTGGGATGCTTTATTCTTTATCCTTTATACGTCTACTTTCCACCATAGTGGTGTTGTAAATCTTATATTTAAGGTTTGTGTTGGGATGCTCATAGTTACTACCACTACGATTCCTTGAAATGATAGCGGCAAATAAAAACACAGTTGGCGCAATGCTAAAAAGATCGAACATATCCTTAAAAGAATGCTTCCCCATAAAAATCTCCTTTAAAAAAAGAACACTCAAAATGTTAATGGACGTATAATTTCACGGACTCGTTTTCAAACTGTTCACGCCTTTTGTCTGGAAAAAACAAATGGTTATCACCGGACAGCCACTTCTGTCGACAAAAAAGCATTTTGTATAGAAGGGCACCGTCAGGTGAGTATGCTTCACTCGAGAGATGCACCACTGACGAAGATCAGAACCGATACAGAAGACGATCAACTGTGGACCATCGACTCGAATCATCGGCTCTGATGAAGACCAAGACGTCGAGACGTGTGCCGATGTATTGTTCACACTTTACTCATAAATGGAGGCTCTGTTTTATGTCAAAATCATCGAACCTCATTAATGGCATCCTTATCTTTTCCCACCACCTCTCTGATGTCCTCTAACGAATTCATCACCATACTCAACGTTTGCACTCAGAATGACCACTACAAAGCGATCAATGAACACAGTTTGCATTAACACAATCGCAACTGAATGTTCTACAAGTTTGAAAAGAACGTCTATGTGAAAAACAAAGTGAAACAATGTAAGCTCCTTACGACTTCGTTTATGTGAAGAAACATAAATGGACTTTGTTTGAGACCTCTGATCACACCCTTGTGCGAATTCAGAACTGTCCTCACTGTGTTGGTCCATAGTGACTTCTTCGAAAAAGTTTACTGATTCAAAACACATAGGAATATATGAAAAATTAAAAGATAAATAATATGGAAGTAGCAGTTTAAGGATAAGAAAAAAAACAACAAATACGACTGTCAATCAGACAGCAATACATCCACGACTTTAATAGCACAGCTTCATCCAGTAAACAAAAACTGTTTCATAATGAAAGATCTTTAAAAGCTGGTATGGAATGCGCTCTATTGAGATAGAGCGCTTCTGAGCACCAGGGTGACCAACCTTCGGTGCCTCGACGGGGAGATGTCCAGCATCGTTTAGCTGGGTACGGAGCGCCTCCAGATCTACGTTTTCCGGCAACATCCACTTGCGAACGAACGACCTTAAATGAATTATTTCCGGTGTGAGGAAAGACACAACCATTAATTGAATTTACATTATTTACATTATCTGCTACTCATTCACGACCATACGAACTAGTAATTCCATGGTAATGTAATGTAACCACATGTAATAAACAACTTTGAACTCACTAAAAAGATCGCACAGCAAGCAGGAAAAATTGTTTTCCAAAGTAATTCTTGAGGGATTTAGACACTTAAAACTCCACCAGTTCTTTATTTTCGCTCAAATTCTGTCATTATATTGCACATGCAGAGGATATAAGCACGTTAGGTTATTAGCATCTATGCCTCATTTGGCAAACTACAAGTAACCTTTGATCCAGTTCACCTTCTCCATCAGATACCTTACCGATAAAAACAGGTCGCGCACGTAATTGAACTTTTGTTGTATTCGGTAGGCACATCGATCCACTGACGGTGTTCAAGCGATTTGCTGCTTCAGTGATGGAAATACGAGCTTTAAAACAAACCAAGGTCTTGACCCTCGACTACGTAGACCTTAGAATTGTTTAACTAGTATGCTATCATAATACTCCTTTCAATGAGCCTCAATAGACTAGAACTCGTTCATAACTCAATTGAACGTGCTCGCTAGAAAACCACACAAGGTAACTCAACCATGATCAAAACGACGAGAATTCAAAATGTGGTGAACTCACTCGACTTGGGCTAACAGGATTTGCTTAGACCACTGTGATGTCCCGTCGTGCCCTCTTCAAAACTATCACAAATTCGAATTCATTCAGCACGATTGCTTTAACGGTATTATTAATTCACTTCAAAACAGGACACAGCAGATAAGCTTGATCAATCAGTCAAACTAAAACCCCGCCTCTTGCAACTGATAGGATCAAATCATTGCGGAATCGACGGGTCAAAGAAGTCCATGCTGATGGAAATCACCACTACGCAAAGTTGGATTTCAAACAAACGATCCCAAGAAGCAATTTTCTAATGTTACCTAGCTCTAAAACTATCATAAAACAGCGAAAACATGCATCGATGATGCATATGCGTGCTTATGCTTCGCAGACGTCACCGTAGTCGAAGCGGAAAAGGACCACGAAAGACGATTGCGCGAGAATAAAACGAGTGATGAACACCCTGGGATTCGCAATACCAGTGAAGAATGACCATCCAAGTATCCAAGTAAACAAGTAACCAAATACACACTTATATACGTACACATATGTATGTTACAATTACTACTCATTATTTGAAGAATATGCAATGCACCTTTGGCAAAGTGCTGGGCAGCAGGGTAACAAGTAAAAATAATTCACCTTTCCATGAAACTTGTGTCATTTTTGTGTTGATGTTTACCCTCGATAGTTAGCTCATTCCCTTCTAGATGAACCTTCAGTTCCTCAGGACGAAATTGGGATACATCCAACGACACGGCAAATTTGCTATCATCATTGACCATCTGAAATGTTCGTTCAGCTCTGTGGAGGAAAAACTGGTTTGACCGATCATGCAGATAGTTTATTCTACTGATGTAAGAGATTTTTAAAATATTCAAATTACTAATATGAAAAACAGCAACCTGTTGAGCTTCGTTTGCAACGTGCAACACCGAGTGATCTGCATTTCTCCAATACGGGAAAAGGCTTCTCTCAAAACGATCGAAATCACGGAAGTAGTTGTCCATCATACGATTCATAGAACGAGGCCACAGATCCATTGTTGGTGAGATGGCAATACGCTAATATGAAACAAAGAAATAACGCATGTAAGGCCTTAAAATTAAAGAAGATAACAGGAGAATACGACTGATTCAAAACATTCTAATTTTAGGTCCTCAGTGAAGAATACAAAAATAACGTTTTCTAAGAGAATGTATGTACTACGAGAAATAAAAAGCATATTATAATTAGCATAGACTTCTGCCAAAAAATGCATGTTGAACAAAATCGGAAACCATCACCAAAGAACGTTTGATTAAACAGAAATTGAGAAAGCAAAGAGCAAAAGTAATCTTGTAGGAAAAGAAGGAAAGGACGGAGAGGAAAATGCGAGAATCAGTAGTGAGAAAGGAAGCGATCGAATCAGCAATTTAGAGTTCACTCTCTAATCGATAACCGATTTCATTGAATACTAGCAAAGTCACCAATCGTCGCTTTTACGTTATTTGGATTCGTATTCCTTGCATTCGCCGTCCACAAAGCCCCCCGCTCTTCGAAGGTTGCGCGGGCCGTTTCGGTCGCTACTTGAGGAGTTCGCCATCGTTTACGAATGTCGTAGAATGATGGTCAACTCGGTATTCTCCAAATGGACTAAGTGAACGAACGGCGACGATGAGGTCACTCTGAGGAATGGAGCCGATTGCATCACGCGATATTCGCGCGAAGCGGAGAATGTTCGCGAACGGAGCGGAGCCGCGGTATCGCTTAGTGAGCATGGCGAGTGCGGAGACGCAGGCTTTCGCACCTTCGCGAACATTCGCGAAAATTTCTGCCCTCGAATATATAAGCACACTTGCGATTGGCGACGATCATTCGAATTTTGTGTTTTGTCATCATGTCGTTGTGGATCCGTCCAGCTAATGTCTTCTTCCCTCGTTTCGTCGATGAATGTCTAAGTGATTTTTGTCACATGGAGAGGAGAATGCGTCAAATGGAAAGGATGATGCTCGACCCTGTATGTCGCACGATTCGAACCGAAGTTCTGGATAAATCTGTCAGTGAGGTGAGAGTGCGTTCTGCCAGTAAATTCCAAACCTAAGAGCATTTCAAAGAATCATCGTATTCTTATGTTATTTTAACAAAGCGTCCACATGTTTAAACCTGTTTATGCTCCCATTTGGAAAAAATACCGTAATACAACATGTTACGCTTTGAAAATGAAAGAGCACTGTAGGAAAGCGAGGGAACTGCCCATTCGACTACTCGTTGTTTGTTAATATCTCCTACAGTTGCAAAATATACAAAAACATTTCCAACACTTCGTTCTTACATGTTACTATCGTCATTAATTCCCGCACTCATTGTTTAGATTGTCGACAACGATTCGAAGTTCGCCGTTTCTATCGATGTTTCAAAGTTCAAGCCGGAGCATCTAAAAGTCAACATAGATGGTCGTTGTCTAACCATCGAAGGAAAGGAGGAGCTGGAAGAGGAGAACAGTTATTCAATGAGGTTAGTAGCAACTAGAGTTTTATTCGAAGAACTCAGTGTGGACACTATGTAGTCGTCTGCCGCGAGGTTCTTTCAAATTGTAAAGATCCGTGACTAATGTTGTTTCTTAATTATTCTTCGGATGTTGCAACGCTTTAGGACAACCTCTAAACGTCTCGACCTACTTCCTAATGCTTTATCAACACTGTTACAGAGCTTTCACTCGTCAGTTTGTGCTGCCTGAAGATGTTAACCTCGACGCAATTCGTTCCTCTCTCACTAATAGTGGCAAACTATCAGTTGAAGTGCCTAAAGTCACCAAAACGCTTGAATCTGGTGGAAGAGCCATTCCAATCGAACAGGTGCCCCAAAAGCCGTAGAAAAATCGCCACTCCAGATGAAGAGTCGATGGTTGATCTACTTGTTAAGACTTCTTGTGGTTGTCTCATAGAACTGTAAAACGTGTTGTGTGACTTGTTGAAAATGTGTAGTGTAGAAATGACTAACACTGTTAATCCGTTGTGTAGAAGTCGAGTTCTTGCTGATGATGTAAATGTATTCGCATGATACCAATAAACTTCATGTTAACGTGTTTTCCAACACGGTCGTGACACAATATTAACGTAGTTTCTATGCTGAACCCAACAGGAGATATTCAAGGGACCGAATAGTTGTTTTCCAGTTTCACAAAGGGCTCATTCTAAACCATACGTTACAAACCTTTTGAAAAATGGCTCGCTTATCCATATAAGTTGTCCATGGTGAAAATGTCTCCATAAAGTCGGTAATGGCGCTGAAGAAAGCGCAATAGTCATTGCAATACACTTCTGATGCGAATCTGACCTCGAAAAGTGTTTCATGGCTGCAGCGTGCTCTTAACCACCGCCCACAACGTCGCCAGTTGTCGTGCAGAACTGTTTTCTCGTCGTATATTCGAAAAGTAGCTCGTTTTTGCTGCACGAATGGTGTTCCCAAGAAATTTCGCACGACGGTCGTTATTCCATTCTTTCAATGTACAGACCAACCATTCTCCAAGTTTCTTTTTTATCGTGCTAATTTGGTTGAGATACACCGGAACCGTCGCTTTAAACAGTTACGTCTAGTTCTTCAAATTTCTTGAATCAGTTCATATGCATGCGCTATAAACTATCGCCTTCAAATGGTCACAAGAACAAAGTTCTTGAGGTTTACCAGTTTTTTTTCGACGGGGGTCATAAACCTGACCTCATCAAGCATCGTTAGAGTTGACTGAATGCATACGTAGCGCATATAATGACTTGCAATGGTCTAACGATATATCAAGTCAGTGCTGCTACACTCCAATACAAGTCCGGTAGCAATTTGCCGACCCCGAAATTACGGAAGGTTTGGTTATCTAAGCAAGCGAGATCGAACAAATGACCAAAAATGTGTGTTACAAGGTACCTCTAACCACTGCGCTACACGGTCTCCGTAAGAAAATGGTCACATTTTTAACACTATACAATGTTTTTGCTATATTAAACCCAAGTTTGAATTCGTATAAGAAATCGCTCGTGTCTGCCTGTTTCCAATTTGCTCTAATAGATTGAACTTAGTACAATTCAATGTAAAATAAAAGCAGCAGAATTACTGTACGTCGAAGCTTTCGCATTAAAATAGAGGCTGAAAACTAATACAGCCATAATAATGCTGAGATATTTGCAAAACATGGACCACAGGCTACATTCGAACCTACGATTACGCTTACTCAAGTGCTGTTAAGTATCACATCACCGATGCCTTTGTTATGCCTTCTTCTCAGCCAGTTTTAACCTGCAGCCTCAGCTTAACTGGATTCAATGCTGATCTCTGCTCCCAAGATCATTCCCGTTGACAGGAGATTGCCGATGGTACAGTTAGAGAAAAAACTGGCTGATGCAAGGCAGAACGTGGGTCTCATTGGTGCAGTGGGTAACACATGAGCCACGGAAACGGCAACCACAGGTACGAAGCTTACCCCTGGATTCGAGTTTTGCTTATATCTCAACATCGTTGTGGTTGTATTTCACATAATATCCTGCCATGAAAAAATAACAGGGCACCAGATAAAAGGCTATACATTGAAACATAATAAGTAAAAACACATACAGACCAACGGAAATGATAATGGGATAAAGTCCGCACTATGAGTTAGCAAGAGAGATCACTAATACCTACGGATGTGTCCAAATTGTTTACCCGAGATTTCCAAAATTCGAATCGAAGAAATTTGATACTTGATACTTGAATGGCCCGCCCTCACTGGTTGTGGGGCCATAGCGTAACCTCCACTTTTCAGAGATTTGCCGGTTAAGCCACTGTGGTTCCCTGGATTTCCGAGGCTAGCCTGATCAAAGTTTGCCCCAGGTCTCCACCACCACAAGCAGTCGCAGTGCTTGCGGATCAGAGGGATATTTACCACCATGCGCCTTTGATACCAGGACGGCGGTGTATCCTGGTACTAGTTTACTCTTAGCTAGGCTTCCTCATGGAAAGGCCGGACTCCATCTCAGCTTGTGAGACCCTGCCAGGGGATGAAACCCCGCTGTACATCACAGTCCAACACCCAGAAGCACCTCCCAGCCACCATGAGCTGGTAAACCGCTGGGAGGAGCCGAAGAAAATAACCAAGAAAGGCAAATTTACACCTTTCACATGTTGAAATCGAGACAATCTATCTCTACAAGAGAGGAAGACGAACGTGTTAACTATATTCGCTTAATGATTAAACCAGGACTTAACATGCTAGAATGTTCCATTCCTAAAAGCAGTCTTGCTTTGCATATCAAAGTTTCCAGGGATTACAATAAATTATAACCAGAATAGGGGCGTGTGTGGCGCAGTGTTCGGAGGCATCCTGCAACACACACGTCGAGTCGCTCCCAGCGCCCATGGCCCACCAAGCCTACCATCCTTGCCGGGTCGGCAAATTGGTACCAAACTTGTCTGGGAGGATAGCAGCACTGGATCGATACATCGGTAGGCCACTGCGAGTTATTGTAAAGACCAGACACGCATTCATTCACCACCAACGATGCTTAATGAAGTCGAATGCATGGCGCATCCCTCAGGGGATGATCAGCGCCAAGAGCTTTACCCTTTCATCCTTTATAACCAGCACTGTGGACAAAACAAAATAGGGACCATTTCATTGTATGTGTAAGATCAATATGGAGTAATCGAATCAAATTATACTAACACAGCGAAGCAATGGAGTTCTCAGATACACTAAGAACTGTTGAAAACACTACCCTAACCCGAAACATAAAGGTCACAACTAAGCAAAGAGTCAAACATCACCGAAGGCCAACTGGATAACAGAAAGGGTAACGGTGCCATTCCGATTGCATCATGCGATGTTTTGCAGTGTGCAGAACGTTCGAGAAGGAGGCGGGGACACGCTATCGTCATGAGAACGGGACGAGAGCAGAGACGTAGAGTTTCGCACTTTCGCGCTCGTTCGCCACCATTGCTGCCATCGAAAACATAACCCGACTTGTGATTGACCACACTCATCCGAATTCCACTTCGTCATCATGTCGTTATGGATTCGTCCGGCTAGCATTTTTCCCCGTTTTATCGAAGAATGTATGCGTGACTTTCGTCAAATGGACCGGATGATGTTCTCGCCTCTGTATCGCGCACTTCCATCCGAGATTATCGATCGAACTGCAAGTGAGGTAAGATCATATGTTTTGCTTGTGAAGTTTAAGCTGCAGGACGATAGTTACGAATCGTTGTGGTTGTGTAGTTCGCGTTAACAAAACGTCAACATGTTGTTGTCCTTTCTGTCTTCACTACATATGACATGTTGGACTTTAACCCTTGTATTCGTTACTCCTCCCAACGGTTTATTGCCTCATCGTGGCTGGGAGGTATTCCTAGGTGTCGCGCTGCGACCCGGCAGTGCCTCCCTAGCTGAGAGGGGGGCCCGGCGTTTCCATCTGGATGCCCAGCTAAGAGTAAACCAAAACCAGTCCTGGTATCAAATTAGTGGCATGGTAGCAAATCTTCCTCTGATCTGCAAGGGCGGCGACTGCCTATAGTGGTGACGACCTGAGGCAGACTTCGCCTAGGCTGACCTCGGGACTACGGGGAATCCCAATGGCTAAATCAGCAAGACTCCGAAAAAAATGGAAATTATTCTGGGGCCATCCAAATACTAACTTCTAAAAGCGGACTATTTAGATAGTTGACAATGAGTCAAAGTTTTCTGTGTCTATTGATGTGTCGAAATTCAAGCCAGAGAATCTGAAAGTGAACGTAATTGGTCATCGTCTGACAATTGAAGGAAAAGAGGAGCTCAAGGAAGAGAACGGTTACTCATTGAGGTTAGCAATTGTGTCCACTTTTGAGACTTTTTTTTGTAGCCATTGTACAGTTGTCTGGTGCCTTATTTCACAGTTGGGATGTCTATAATCACTGCTGTGTAACTTAGATCACCTTTTGATCGTTAACATTGTAAGAACACCTTTAATTAGGTGTTTACATACTTCCTAAAATTTGATTGCGCATGTTTCAGATCTTTCACCCGTCAGTTCATTTTGCCGGAAGATGTTAATATGGATGCAATTCGTTCCTCCCTCACTGATAAAGGACAGCTCTCAGTTGAAGTACCGAAACTCGAAAAGCCGTCTGAATCAGGAGGTAGAAGCATCCCAATTGAAAATGTGGGTGAAAAGGCGTGAGAGGTGATTAGTCCAGATTTGATCAAATTATTTGATTTAGTTAGATTTTTTCCGTTGTAGCGACACTTACAAGCTGTATATCGCTTTTTGTAATCTGACGTGTTGAATATGAAAATGTATGCTGTAGAAGTAGCTGGTACTTTAAATCTGTTAAATGAAGACCTAGTGTGAATACGTCACTAATAAAGTTTGTGGTTTATGTGAATTTGGAGGTATCCCTTAACTGCCGTAATCATTTAACTTGTGCTTTTAAAGACTTAAAATCAATAACGAATTGAGCAAATTCCAGCATTTTAAGTTTATGGGACACCGCATGTGGAACGTGAAGGCGCGCGTAGTCATCTCTTCTAGATTATTCGGTGCTGGTTTGGTCTTCTGAAGAAACAATGCTACAGTAATCCACCAAAACTAAATAAGTTATGGTCGAAGCTCAAAACTGCTTGTAACTTTACCTTGGGCAAAACCTTCCTTTAAAGCGGGCCCTGTGATGTCCACCATCACGACATCACAAATCCGCTAATATCTTCATTAAGAGCGAGAACCATGACCCTTTAGAGCGTACATTAGGAATAAACGTCAACTATGGTTCTTACTACTCTTCTCACTAAAGATGAGAACCTTGACACTGAGGGAGCCAACAGTGAAGTGTCAACGATCTCTAGCTTCTATTACCCTAACTAGCAGCGAGTAGTGGTAAAAGCGATGCGTACAGATAGGCTTTGGTCCTATTCTACGTGCTATGTAACCAAGCAAACATTAAGTTAGCTCCACGATGCTTGGTAAAGGCGACCGCTCATAGATCAGTCAACACCGAACTCTTTAACCTCTATCCTTTATGCTCATATGCTATTTCCGTTAACTTTATTCACATTATCGTCTACCTCTGTTGCAAGAAGTGAAATTTAAACTCGCGAGGCACGGTAATCGAGGAACGTCAGGGGTAAAAAGGACAACAGCGGCTTAGCAAGAACGCGGAAGCTTTTAAATTTTATCCTTGGTTTGTTGATTGAACGATTTCATGTTGAGCAATAAAAAGGTAATAAATAAAGGATAAAGCTCCCGGGGTTGACCAATCCGTGAGGGATGTGCCTTGCATTCGACTTCATTAATCACTGTTAGAAGTGTTAATTTTTACTGGATTGTCAGAAGTGATTAAATGAGCATCTAGCCTGTAAAGTGGTTAGCGGTGGTTTATCAATGTATCGAGCCTGTTCTCCCAGATAAGTTTGGTACCAGTTTGCCGATCCCGGTGGGACTTGGTGAGCCTGGGGCACGGTGATCGATCCTATGTGTAGTTCAGGGCGCCTCCGACCACTGCGCTACAAGCACCTCTAATAAAGAGGTACACACTAGTAAGTCGAAGGAAGCGTATAAATGCTAGATTGCCATATATGCTGCGACACTGGAGCTTTTAGTACAACGTTCCTAGAACACCGAAAATGCCGTACAGAGAAATTTTTAGACCATTGTCATAATTGAAGGGAGGTTCGTCGCTATATGATAAAGCTTCTTCCGCGACGGAGGTGATCCATTCATGCACAGTGCGCTAACTCTCAAGTAATATTCCATAAAATATCGCCGTCTGCAGTAATTACTTTAAAAATTGGGAATTGCGCTCGGGAATCAACACGACGCAAACCGAATCAGCCGATTGTGACTCACACTGGCCAAAACGTCTTGCCGAAATTGACTCCACCGCTTTTCTCTATATAATTTAGTCCATGTGTTACTAATAACTTAGTGGGAGAGTAACGCAGTGGTTCGTGATGCAGTCTATCAATAAATTGGTACCAAACTAGTCTGAAAGAGGCTGACGCTCTCCAGTTTACGTAGGAACGCCCTAGCTGGACTACCTTCAAGATCGCAAGAAGAATCGACTCAACCTGCATTCTACGACATTCATAAGGAAGAAGAAATCGTCAAGCGGCAGGGATATTGGATGTAAGGCAACGAATCGAATGCAAGAAGTGCTAGGATCCGCAGAGTAGATGTGATGATGGGTTATGTAGAATAAAAATAAAAAGATGTCAACAACTGATGTTTTCTTCTTTATCTGCTGTACGTTTTCTTCTGCATCGTTCTACATTTTCTGAACGCTTACCTCTTTTTGCATGATGAAAACTACCCGTGGTCCACCCACAGAGCTGTCGCTATTTGGTCTGGGCGTTTCCCTTTTCGCATGATTAAAACTGTCCGTGGTCCACCCACAGAGCTGTCGGCATTTAGTAATTTGCTTTGCGACACACATAGACTACATGTAAATATTCTAAAATCCACGACTCATCCTAGCGATTAGGTGAAGAGAATAATAAAAAAAATTAGGCAGCGGTCCAAAAGGATGGGCAAGGGTTTTCCAGAATGCTCTCCAGGACCTCTAGCGACATCATAGTCACAAGGCAATAATTTGGAAAGTTCGTCGTGCCGCCTTTAAGGAAATTTACATTTCGCCAGTGTATCACATTAACGTACCACAGGTATGGAATAAAGGAATTCGAATTGTGGCGTAAATAGGGTTACACAAACAGAATTATGGTACATGCCATTGAGATACCTCCAGATTGCAAGCATGGCTGGATCTGTTTTAGGGAGAGTTTTGGTATAAGTGTTGAGTAAAGGAAGACACCCGACGCTTAAAACGATACAATGACCCCTATAGAAGTCATAGGATGCGAAAACAACGGCGCCTTCCGGCTTCGAATCAACGTGTCTTAGCTCATAACGAGTTTTATTAATTTAATAAAAGCTGTTGGAATCTAAAAGTCTTCTCGTACACGATACAGATTACTTTATGATACCAAGGTAAAAAACTGACCTTGAAACCCCATGGAGGCCGTATTTCTTCCAACTATCACTTGTATCACCTCTACTCCCGTTGATTGTCGAGTGACTCGAGCGGATGCCGGTAAATCCCACTTTTCCCTATTGCGTGCACGAGTCGCCCAGTGAGTTCTGCTCGCTCCAGGGAGTCGCTGAGCATCATATCTTTCTTCTAGGCTTTTCATGTACAACTCTGACCATCGGATCGGTGGTCTTACGCAATGGGTTTGTCATCCTAAGAAATCCAGTCACTAACGGCTCTTGTCCATCGGTTGTCGTTCATACATATTACATGTCCGGCCGACCTTTGACTGTTTGCGCACAGAACGGCATCCTCGATTTTTGATCGTTGACGCAGGTCGGGGCTTCGGGTCCCATCCCTTAATTGTGTGAAATGGGACACTCCTGGCATCGTTCTTTCGACTGCACTTTCATTTACGCTGAGTGATACAATGAGTCCATCATTCTTCCAGCTGTTTGTTTGAACATCCGTATTTGAACACGAAAACAATTGAACAAGCGGTGCTCCGTCCAGTAGGACAACATAATGTTTTCCAATGTATCGTTTGTATTTACAGCTGCTGGCTATTGTGTTGGAATTTGAAGACCTAATATCACGTTTTCAAGGCTGTGAAACCTTTAGTTCTAAGCACATTTAAAACTAATCTGTGAGAACTGCATGTGTTAGTAAGGAAATGGAGCAGTCTCTTTCATAGATCTATGAGCTTCTGAACTCCTGAAATACTCCAGCAAACTCTAGTAATCGGGAAATTATCGCCAGTTATCGAAACACTAGTTCCGTTCGAAACGGTTTATTGGTATACAAGTGTTTTACTGGCTGAGAACATGATACAAATAGGCTATCGAATTGGCTTATTTAGCAAGAATACGAACGATTTCTCTAAGCATGCCATCAAGCAGAAGCTGAACAGAGGACAAATGATGGCACAGAAAAACAAAAATGGTGCAATGGTGTTCAAATTAACGGATAGATGGGATAATGTTACGATCAATGGCACACTACTCCAACATTTCGCAGAACTCAATAATACAACAAGCTATCGAAAGCGACAATGATGAAGACTTGGACACAAGCGAGCAAATGGCGTTCTATGATTGCTAATCCGGGGTTCCAACCGGTTTTGCTTCCTCTTAACCACATAGATTTGCTTCTTGAAGGATATAAGAATATGATTAATGCTGCGATGGATGAATTCAACGTCAAAGGCTATATGAGTATGACCCAAAGAGATAAAGTGCCTACATCCTTAAGTAGCCACATTCTGGAAGAACCGATATTGCATCAAAAACATGTATTTATACGTGTATATACATGCGTGTATATATATATGCATATACATGTAAATTATAAATTATATATGTATATATATATATATATATAAATTGTTGTATGGTAGAGCCCACAACCACATACGCATACGCATACACAGACACGTACACATATACACATATACATATACATATACAAATACAAATACACATACTCATACACAAACATATACACATATACACATGTACACATACACACACACACGCTACGACCAATGATTTTGGTCAAACTGAATATAAACCTACACCAAAACTACGTTTATAAATGTCTTTTCAATGCTTCATTTCACTATGGCACCAGGAGCGGACCTAAGTCTTGAAGTTCTTTGTTCAACTACAACGACGATATCGTAGTACTCTTCCTGCTGACAGTATAGTTCTCTTTGTAGAAGCCAGAAATCCCTCTGGGAATCATTAGCGCAAAAAACTCTTCCCGTCCCAACAGTTGTCTTCCGCAAATTGTAACGTGTAGAAATTTGTCCCTCTCAAAACATGGCAAGTCCATCTGCGAATGTGAAGACATTGATTTAAGAAGTATAAAAGAGTAACAAGAGAAATATTGTAAAAAGTTCATAGAATAACCACATTGAAAACACTGCGCACAGTCCGAGATGTCCCACACAATACGCATTGCAATAAATACGCACGGTCGAGGAAGTGTGAAAACGAGATAAGTACCACCGTAGAAATAACATGAAAATCAACGAATCAGCGAATAATTCAGTGCTGACGAGTTGATAATCAGTGGGTCAAAGATTACACAATCGTAAAGAACGAATTTTGTAATTATTTAACTTCATCAACATATTCCTCCTTGTCTACAACGTCATGCTGGTGAGCTAGTGAAGGACTTCGGATTTTGGTGTGCACGGATCAAGAAACCAAGGGCAACAAAAATCTTTGGACGCCTTATCTTGGCTAAGACACTAAGAAGCATTCTGACTCAATAATGAGAAATCAGTTGACATCCAAACTGCGAGTTGAGGAAGAAACTCATAAGTACCAAAGTCTCAATGGGTCCATTTAGAATAGGTGATGTTATCCTTTGCCTGCCGTATGTTAAAGCGAGACTTCAGGATGTTACGTATTTCGAGCACTTTCTAAAGAACTAAACTTTTTTGCTTCATCAAATACTACCTATACATAGAGAATTTCTTTGTTAAATAGAGAATTCTCTATCTAGCTAACAAACACATTCTATAAGTCGATAGAGACGGCATTTGCCATAACGCCCGCGTGAGTGCCCTATATCTACATCCCATTTAAGCCATCGGGCGCGCCACTAGACACCATCTTGAAGTCATCAGTTACGCCACCAGGCACGCTATTGGGCACGTCTCCTTGCCAGGGCCTTGACCCCAGCCTTTACCCTAGGACCAACGACACTCGTTTGGACGTAGCCACGCCTACTAGCACCGTCATTAGGCTTCTGACGACGCTTTGGAGATCGCCGTTGTCGTACTCCACTTTTTTCCATGTTCATGTTGGCAGTGCGTTGCAGCTCCTCTTTTGCTTGAGTATTGGGGTTTTGCTGGAGTCGTCTGCCATTATGGCTTAAGTATCCAGCACGGTCTGGACGCTGTTTCGATCACGTTCAATGGCCGATTTTGCTTGTTCTATCTTCTTTTGCCGTCCAGTAATGTACTCGATCCTGCTAGTTTGTTCGGACGGAAAGCTTAGTGGCGTGTCTATTTCGTTTTGATAGCCATTTAAGGTGGATACGAGGCAGTTGATTCCTTTGTTAATAGGCCTTGGAGAGCGGGCAGGATAGTTGTTATTGTTTTTCTTTTGAGAGTTAATGTAACGTACTTTAAGGTAAGTTCCCGTGTTGAGGTTCGTCTTGTTTCGTTGAGCGCTTCTTGCTCCTTTGAGTCTGAATCGATTAGTGCATTGACCCAAATCGACTCGAACTCAAAGGAACAGGCACCACCCGATTCAAACACAAAGGAGCACGAAACGCTCAACGAAACAAGCCGAACCTCAACACGCTAATCTACCTTCAAGTACGTTACATTAACTCTCAAAAAAAACAATGACAACTATTTTGTCCTCTCGCCAAGGACTATGAACAAAGGAATCGACCGCCTCGTATCCACCTTAAATGGCCATCGAAACGAAATAGACACGCCACTAAACTTTTCATCCGAACAAACTAGCAGGGTAGAGTACATTACTGGACGGCAAAAGAAGATAGAACAAGCAAAATCGGCCATTGAACGTGATCGAAACAGCGTCCAGATCGTGCTGGATACTTAAGCCATAATGGCAGACAACTCCAGCAAAACCCCAATACTCAAGCAAAAGAGGAGCTGCAACGCACTGCCAACATGAACATGGAAAAAAGTGGAGTACGACAACGGCGATCTCCAAAGCGTCGTCAGAAGCCAAATGACGGTGCTAGTGGGCTTGGCTACGTCCAAGCGAATGTCGTTGGTCGTAGAGTAAAGGTCAAGGGCCTGGCAAGGAGACGTGCCCAATAGCATGCGTGGTGGCGTGACTGATGACTTCAAGATGTGTGGAAGCAGTGCACATATGCGAGCGTTGTGGCAAGTGCAGTCTCTGTGGACTTATAGAATGTGTTTGTTAGGTAGATAGAGAATTCTCTATGATAAAGGAGTTCTCTGTACTATACCGACCTGGAACCTCGTTAACTATAGGGTAAGCCCAGCTGTTATCCAGAAAGTTACCATCGATCACTGATATGTTCTAATGTTGTAAGTACATTTCGTTTGCTCGACGAAAACGAAGGGTAATAGATTGAACAGTTCTACTTGTGTTCACCAAACACGAGGTGTTATTTTGTTTCTTTATTTACGTACAAGCTGACTTTTCGGCGGATTTCGCCTTCCTCAGAGCCTGGAAAGGTCAAGTTGACAGCAATCTATTCGGCCAAACAGCTCCATAACCAACACTAAACCAAGAAAACTCAAGGCTAACCGTGTTAGGAGGCATAACTCTCCCTGACAGTGCGCGCTCGTTATTAGAATTGGGACCGAGTTTGTCACCATCTGAACCCATTTCAAGATAACCTTGCGTAGGGTCGCATGTAATTTACATGAACTTCAAGATAGACTCTGCAAAAAAGCTAGAGATGAAGCGCGAAATAGGTGCGAACAACACTAGCGGGGACCCTACCAATAGCACCATTTCCTCAGCCGTTCTTTAGACAGCAAGAGCCCAATAATGAAGTCGATGTTAATTTTCGGATGTTTGCGAATGAAGCTCTCAAAGTCCTTAATCACTATCGCGCGAAACGATACAGCTCAAACCTAAACTGGATTGCAAAAAGTGGTATGCGAGAGGTTCGAGAGCTGATAAGGTTGAAAACATAAGACTATCCGCTAGTGATAAGGGTGGAGAGTTTGTTGTAATACCTCATCAGTTAGATGTGGAGATAGCGAAAAAGCATCTTGAACATGCTTCACTTTATCGCCCATCATCTGCGAAGGAATTTAGAAGTAAATACCGAAAATTGAACCACGAATGAGCTAAAATGCTAAGGGCTGCTGGTTTAAAACCATCAGTTATCTCTCAACTAAAAGTTGACTTGCCAATATGTCCCGTCCTCTACTTACTTATCAAAACCTATAAGCTAGTATCCAGCGATGATTTCATGTCTACCGATCCATCATTGTTTAAGGATAGACCTATCATTACCTGCGTAGACGGGCCAACAGACAAAATAACATGGTTTTTAACCCTAATATTAAACCAGTTGTTTAAACACATTCCAGCCCATCTTACGAATACCCAGATGTTTCTGGACCGTCTACGTACTGCGCAGCTCAACAGCGCGTGCGTGATGGAGTCCTTCGACGTTACCGCTCTTTATGAAAAGGTGATGGATGACTTCGCAATGCAAGCCGTATTGGAACTCCTTATGCAACACGAAGGAGAAATAAAGATGTATGGCTTCAAGATAAAGCAGTTGATAGCACTCTTAACAGAATGCTTGAGCTGCTCATTCTTCAGATGGTCTGGAAAGTACTACGCTCAAATAAGAGGGTTCGCAATGGGACAACGACTGGCTCCAAGCCTTGCCATGTAAAAATATCTTGGTTCATTACCTCTCCTCTCACCCCTCTCACACGAAAAGGGCGCTTATAAGAAACATGTTTCGAACGGCAACCAACGTGTGCACGGGAAGAGAGCAAAGAGAGGAGTCCAGGAACTTGGTGCGGCAAATAGCTATTTCCAATGGCTACGAAACTGTAGCTCGGGATAGGTGTAGGGGAAATCGCAGGCTCCGAAACAACAACTCTAGCGATGAAAAGGTTCCGTTTATCCTACCCTTCATCTCAAATGATGTAAGTGCAGCTTTAAAACGCTGCTTAAGAAGGGAGGGTCTAGAGAATTCGGTAAACGTTGTTGAAATGCCACCGAGTAATCTTAGGCGCCAGCTAGTTCGTAACCGCCTATATGATCGTCTATGTGCAACGCAAAACTGCATAATTTGCCTCAATGGTAAAGGCGGTGATTGCATGAGCTCGGGTATAGTTTATCTGATCTACTGTAAGGCGTGTGGTGACGAATACATTGGCGAAACGGGCAGACCCCTCTATGTCCGCATAAAGGAACACCTAGCCGGCAAACATAAACCAAATATCCCGATAGGCACGCATAGGACTCAGAGACATAACGGGGAGAACTTTGAAGTTCGTGTCACGATCCTCGCACAGGAATCAAGAACACAAGCGCGCAAAACTCCCGAGGCGTTCTGGATTAATTCCAGAAATCCGAAAATGAACCACAGGGAAGAATGCCTCATTATCACGCGTGATATTGGGCCTCGATACATCGATTGGCAACCGCGACTAGAGGCCACATGAACTCATTCACCTCTAATATTTCTTAATGAAGTCGAATACAGGGCGCATCCCTAAGGGATTGATCAACGGCAAGAGCTTTATCCTCTATCGTCTTATGTATATTTGGATGTTATAGCTCAACCCGGCGCAACAAGGACAAAGAACCCACCCTCGGATTTCGCCTGGGCTAGAATACGGTTGTTTTTAATCCGGGTTTAGCACCCGATCTCCTGTAAGGATCCATCAGCTCCCCAGCTAAGGACCCGTAGTGAACTTTCGTGATCCACTATTACCAAGCATATCCACGGATCCGTGATAGAAAAACAACCCTCATGTCAACATTAAAAGCTCCAACATTACGATTTCGAAAAAAGGTGCGCATTAGGTAAATAAGACCGCTAGCAATTACTTCAAGTACGAGTTATGCTGCGTCATGCTTTGAAAGCCCACAACGTCAGCGAACGAGGCGTGGTGACTCACTGCCGCGGAGAGAGCATGGCGAGGACAGAGATGCAGACCACGAATGTTCGCGAACGTTCGAGAACATCTTTGCCGTGGACTACTTAAGCCTGCTTGCGACTGACGAAGCTCATTCGAGTTCTGTTTCGTCGTTATGTCGTTTTGGATTCGTCCGGCTTCCGTGTTCCCTCGATTCGTCGAGGAATGTATGCGTGATTTCCGTTATATGGAAAGGATGATGTTCACTCCCTTACTTCGCACAATTCCACAACCAGTCGATCGATACGCTAGTGAGGTAAGACTTTGTGTCTTGCTAGTGAAATCCAAGCTTAGGGACGATGGTTAGGAAGTCTTATTTTCGTTAACAAGGCGTCAACTTGTTATCCTTTTTAAGTTTACAGCGGAAGCGCTTTACCATAGTGTTTTACGTGGTTAAAGTGGAATAGCCTTGTAGAAAGAGAAATAACTACTAGGATTACACTCCACTTCTCTCGATGGCTGATTGCTGATGCCAGCGTTAGAGTAAAAAATCGGCTAAGAGAAAGGCAGAGAGAGGGCATTAGTGGTGCAGGGGTGACATGTAAGCCCCCAGAAGGTAGTCGCGGGTTCGATCTAGCCCAGAATCCAAGCTTTGCAGATATCTCAGCGTCATAGTGGTTGTATTTCACTACCGGAATATTTTTTACAACTGTGAAATTTACGAAAGTGTACGTAACACGTTATGTTTACACATTATTTTCCTGACTATCTTCGTGTACACCTTTTTTAGGTGTTAGAAACTATTACTTAGATAGGCAGGCATAGGTAGATTAAATTATAGGTTAGACCGATTGGATGTTTGGAACTGTTATTTAGATAACCACTGTAGTGCTGAGATATTTGCAAACTCCGGACCGCACGTATATGCGGTGGGGAACGAACGTGCTATGATCCTTTCCGAAGGCTAAGGCGCTCACCACCACGCCATAGCGGTCCTCCGTTTAGCCTTTCTCCTATGTAGTTTTCTGTATGTTGTGGTCGTATCACATATAATATACTACCGTGAAAAATTGTAATAGGTAATAAATAAAAAGTTAACATTATTATTTAGATAGTCAACAATGAGTCGAAGTTCGCTGTGTCTGTTGACGTGTCAGAGTTCAAGCCAGAGAATCTTAAAGTGAACATAGATGGTCATCGTCTAACTATTGAAGCAAAAGAGGAGCTCAAAGAGGAGAATGGTTACTCGATGAGGTTCGTGAAAGGCAATGTTTATTTCTAAGAACTTCTATTTGGACATTGTGCAATCGTCTACCGCCGCACCGCCGCAGTGTTCTTCCAGCGCCAAATATGTTTATGACTAGTGCTTTTTCCTTAACTCATCTTTTAACGTCATTTTAAGACTGTCTTTAAATGGGTGTTTATGTATTTTATAATTCATTGTCTGTGCTGTTACAGATCTTTCACCCGTCGGTTTCTGCTACCAGAAGACGTTGATCTGAATGCAATTCATTCTTCTCTTACTGATAATGGTCAGCTGTCAGTCGAAGTCCCAAGACTGAATAAGCCGCTTGAATCAAGTGGCAGAAGCATCCCAATCGAACAAGTGGGTGAAAAGTCGTAGAATGTTTGTTACTCGAGATGTGTGGTGAAATTTTACGTTGGAAGTTCTCTTGTAATTGTTGATTCTACCTATTTTTTATCGTTTTTCTCCTTATGGCCATGATATTTAAGAGTTGTTAGTTGTATTGTCCGACTTGATGTAGTGAAGGTCTCTGGAAAGAAATCCCTGACCTATGGCTATGAAATGCCTGACACTTTATATACTTTACATTTTCTTAGAAGCCGAGTTATCGTTTGTTATGAAACATGTGTACGTATGTTACCAATGAAGATTTCAGTTTGTATGCGTTTGGAAACAACAGCCGGTGAGAGTTCTTTAAGCTGAATGCTGTTTGGTTCATGGCGCCACCAATACCGATGGTTGGCAATGATTAGGGTAGGGGTAAAATCTGCTAAACCGTAGTGTTTGTAATGTTGTTTGGCTATATCGGTGCACTGAAGTTTAAACTGTACAGGGGTCAAGATGTACACAAGTTCGTAGAGGTAGATTTGGCGATCCATTCGTCCGTAATCCATGAACAATTTACACGTATCGTGGTCTAAACGTATGCACAAGGTGCGGTGTATTCATCATGTTTCGATATACTGGATGATGTTTTAAATCCTTCTGCAGCTAATTTTATCCCATGTAGTCGTAGTATAGTTCATTTGGGGTTATACGTATCAGGTAACGTGGTAAATAAGGTGTTAAAACGGAAAAGCGACAGCCAAGGAAGTCAAGATAACTAGAAGAAGCTGAGTTGATTGAGGTAGGACTTCAGAGCTATACACGAAGGTTATAGGGATAACTGTGCGAGTCAGGTGTATGTCAGTATGTCACTCTCATTATTGAATATCGTTTGAGCTTAGAAGATCGTGAGATACTACATAACGTTAGTTAAGGTCAGCTACGCTGTAAATAACTTAGCAGTAACTTCGGTCCAGCTCAACGTTAAAGTTTATCGGTCGCTGCTGAGATTGTTGTAAAGTCAGTTATGAAATGAAAGGAAAGAACAAGCGTACAAGTCACGTTGAATCCTCCAGAAACAAGTGGGTGTAAGAAGGGACTGTGACAATTTACTTGTTGGGTACAAGTTCTACATGGAAGGTCTCCTGTTTCATTCGCGACAAAGCCTTTCAAAATTACATCAGGACTATTATTTTTCTTTTTATTTCCCACATTCCTGTTCCCGAATACACCACTATGTGATTTTCATCCCAGTAAGCTGGAAGCCTAGGCAAATCTCCCTCTGATCCACAAGTGCGCCAACTGCCTGTGGTGGTGATGAACTGGTGCAGACTTTGGCTAGGCTGACTTCGGGACTCCAGCGAACCACAATGGCTAAACCATCAAAACTCCGAGGGGATGGAAATTATGATCGGACCCGCATAATCAGTGAAGACGTGCCATACACGCATCCAAGTAGGTAAGTATGTAACTGAATACTAGCAACGACGGATACTGCTCATTTAGGGTAATGTTTTGCTACAATCTTTTGGCCTACTACTTTATCATCATCAGCTCTGATGAAGAAGACGTCGAAACGTTAGTTGATCAAAAATTGTTTATCGTAACCTCGTGTAAGCTTATCAAAGAAACACGTATTGATCAGTCCTGCGGAGATTAAAGGAAGGTAGTTTTCTGGTCGTCATTACCGTCTATTTTCTTATCCAATTCTCGGATCAAATGGAGAAGGTACGTTAACTATCGCTATAAAACTGGAATTAGGTGGACACGAAGGAGGAAAAAAACGGGAAAACTGGTCCTGAATTCCCTAAGTGCATTGTTTTCTATCTGAACTAAAGTCAGAGAAACTAAGTCTATAAAGAACTTTCTTTCATTACTTGAAGAAAAAGTCGTTTTCCTTTGTATCTGTATTCACGTCCCATCATTTCATCCATTCTTCCTCAATCATCTTCAACTTAACTGACGTCACTTTTACCAAAAGAGTAAATCATCCGTCCGTCCTTCTCAAGGAGATACTTACTTTAAGCGGTGTCCTCTTCGTAGCAGCCGACCACCACGCCCAGTTGATGAGAAACAGCTGAATATTAATGTGCTCGCGCACTTTTCCGTACGGGACCCGCCGCACTTGTTCATGAAGTGGGCGGACCGAGCGCGATTACTCATCTCATTTTCAGTTTTGCTTCTGACACTTGTACGTGTTGCTGGGAATTCGTAGTATTTACCGTCTGACCAGCAGATTTGATCATTGTGGATTCTACGTGACATGACTGATGCGAACACAAGGTGAGATTGTTCTTGCAATCGATATCCGGTCGAATTTGGTTTTGAAGTTCGCCCGAAGACGTTGAAGTTGCCTCTGATCAGCCCTATCCTTCCACACTTGATTATTCCTTATGAGAGCTGTTATGTTATGAAGATAGCGAGTTGTTGCTTTCCTCTTCCTTTTTACTACAACTCGTTAACGCCATATTCTGGTTTCAATGTTGTTTATCGAAAGAATGAAATCGGGCCGAACTTGCCCTTAAGTTTTTGACCTCAATTTAGTTCTCTATAGTGGCGCCAATATATCGTTTTCCTATTCCATGTTCGTTCATGTACTGGGAATTAAAGGCAGTGTATGAGAAAAATACTCTTCTATGCCGAACGACATTCTTCATAGTCAACAACGAGGGCAGCAGTAAATCAACACAAGACAACATAGTACAAATTGACTAAGAGGCAATTTTCTGGATAGGTTTAGCAGAATAGGGATAGCGCTTCCTTAGTGGTGTTTTCCCGGTATTCGTAGAGATTAACTTCCCGCTATTTTGTGTTTTAATGCGCTTAATTTGAGACATTATTCCTTTCGAAAACCGAGAGTCGTGGAACACTCGGTGTTCTCTTCACTACTTAATTAATGAATTGGTGTGGGAACAGATTTTTTGCGACTTACGATAGTGGTCGATACGATAGTCGACTTACGAGTACGACAGTGGTTTATTCCTAGATTATAATGGTGAGCGAGTTCTCCATCGAGGAGGGATCGGTATTTCCTGGGCTGGTTCGGTTTTTGTAGGAGTGCTTTAATCAACTGACTGCTTAAGTAAGCACTTTGGAGAGCGTTCCATTGAGTGTGAGTTAGTACATTTCTGTAGGCATAAGGAATTTGTGAAAAAGAACTCGTCAAACAGTGGCCGTGTGTGCTGCCGGGCAGGCAGAGTGCAAGGACTACGCATTGATTTCCCAGCACCGATCAATATATGAAAGTTTTCATTTCATATACTCACTCCTACATTCCTGGAACTGATTGGTTGGATGAGATAAGTATCATTTCCCTTAAGTATTTCACCATATTATAAAGTAAAAGTAAATTAGTGTAGTGGACTTAGGTGAGTGTGGCGAGGAAGTTTACCGCACCACAGGATTTGTTTTCCTTTGAAATGTTTTAAATAATTACTCGTTCTTTATACCAACCTCCATGAGCATTACAATATCCTGAAGCGACTAGCTAAGTGGTCATTCGATGTCGTAGTTCCTGTGTGCCCTTCGGCTGCTCTAACTTGTTAAACATTCGTCAGCTGCATATATATATATATATATATATATATATACGTATATATATGTATATATATGTATATGTATATATTAAGTAGCTACTAGAATCGGAATAAAGGATAATCGAAACTGCAACAACAGGTCATCTTAGGTGGGTGCTTTTTTCTATCGGTTTCGTAGTTATTCTTAAAGGCCTTTAAGAATCGGGCCACGTACTTGGTGCCGTCTGTGGCCTTTGTTCCCATTTTCGTATTTCCTTCTCCATTCTAGAGTCACAGCGAGGGTAAGCGGGATTATAACATTCTTATCAAATACCTTGGAAAAATGGGGAATATTTTATAGAAAGATGTATTTGTTAAGGAACTTTGAACATGACCTTATCTCAGATCTACCAGGTACGCTATGATAACCAGGTATGCTATGTGTCTGACATTGTGAAAGCTCTCAACTCATTTATTAGCAAGAGTGGTCGACAACCGGCCAAAATTTTCCTCTCGGGTTATTTGGAAAAAAGAAAATGGCGACTACGTAAGGAATTATAGACAGCCTTCGGTATACTCGGTTTTGAACAGATTGGTACGACATGTTAGAGTTTGTCACCGGCTGTCGATATGAGCTAGTTCTGTCATATTTCGTTCAATGTGCATTGTATGTATGATTAATGAAAATCATGAGAATATGCAGAATTTTTGTTATTTTTGCAAACGCGTCACAGTTCTGCTGGACTGTGAACAGTTCAATCGTGTAATCTGAGTGCCACAGGATCACATTCACAGGATTCATTACCTCCACGTTTAAAGTTAATAGACCGTATTCATTTTTATAAAGTGCGGCCACAGTAGCTAGATATTTTGTGAGTGTGCAGGTAAATCCTGTTCATAAACTGGAACAATACAGGGTTTTGGACGAGAAATCTCTAGCAAATTGAGTTTGAATCACGGGATAAATCTTCTCATCCTGGAAAATGAACATAGTGTGCATCATGAATGTTAAAGTTACTACAAGAAATCGTGTCGTGTCACTTTTGTACAGATTGCTTTTCACAGTTGCTGTGGTCTGATTCGAAATATATTTTGTTCCGTAGAATGCAAATGAGAACAGAGTAGATACTTTGTGGGTAAGGTAAGTAACAACTTTGAGATAAATTTGATACAATTTGTTGAATTTTCAAGAGGAGGCTAGAAACCAGAGTTGTAGCACTTAAGCGCGCTTAAGCACAAATGTTCTTTCTAGATAGTTTGAGATAGTAGCATTTGGAAAACTCCGTGGTGGTTGGTTGTTAGTGAACTGCCTCTTTTTCGCCAAATATAAATTATTATGTCACTTTGTTTTATCTGTATTTATGGTTATTTAAATGATAAAGGAAAAAGCTCTCAGCGTAGATCAATCCCTGAAGGATTCGCCATGCATTCGACCTCATTAAGTATCGCTGGAGGTGATTGAATGCATATCTGGCCTTTACAATGATTTGCAGTGGCCTACAGTGCTGCTATCCTCCCAGACAAGTCTGGTACAGATTTGCCAACCCTGGAAGGATGGAAGGCTTGGTGGCCCATGGGTGCGGAGATCGGTTTCATGTGTATGTCGTAGTGGCCCCTCCGACAACTGCGCCACCCACTCCCTTTTATGGTTATTTAAGAATAATAATTAGTTCGATGTTCATATGATGGATGATTCTTCGTAGACACATGCAGGTGTTACATTCAGTTAGAATTATGCAGTGTGTTATGTATGTAACAGTAGCCATGTGTTATACAACTCCCAATCCGTTGTGTTGATAACCGCCATGTTTCACTTTTTTGTTTTTAGATAGGCATAAATGAAATGGTAGTAGAAGGTTGTTTGCGTTCCCTAAATTTTATACTTTCAGGAACAAGTATGTGAACAACGGTGGGTCCGCTGGGTCGGTGTCCGTCGATGCTGACGGTCTCATCGAGGTGAGACTTTACAATGTTTGACCACGAAAATCGTCTGAATATTTGAAAAGAGACCTTGAATAGTGAAGGATTATCTGCAGGTAACTGACAATGATTGCAGGACATTCCTTGTTTATTCACTGCATTCTTTTCAGTAGCACTGTAGTCTTATGATACAACTAAACCATAGTTTGATTGGGATTCACATAAAATAAGGACCGATTGCCTATCCCTGGAAGCGTCGTCAGCGCCGCAGCCGCATATACTGGTGAAACCCATTGTTATAGACTCGGTTGTCAGATATGTGTGGGCCATAACACATTCGCTACCAAGCGCATCGATTTCAGAGTGCACACACCGAAACATGACGGCTTTCAACTCGATTTTTCATCATTATAGTTTAGCTTCCGCAGATGTCCCTCATAAAGGCATCTCATTCCGGTATATCGCGAGGCAACGTAGAGCGTCCTTAGGTGGAAGGTGTGTCAGGAAATGGGCACTGTTTCTGTTCCGCCGATTTGAAGCGTATCTTCTATGTTTGCGTGAGCATAGCCACGCATCCGTGTACGGGTGTGTTCTCGTTTGCATGGATTGTATTCCACCAGTCAACTCGGCGAAAAACCTGGAATTCGTCAATTGGGAAGTACATGAGAGGCAGCTAAGAGTCACCTGCAACAAATAAGCTACACCATCTACTCTGGAAGAAACTAGGAAACTACCCATGTTACACCCACGTTTATAACTCAGCAAGTTATAACTGGGTATCAAATGCTAAATACAGTAAAATAAGTGGGCCTCATTCCCCTGACCCCGAAAGCGTGCACGATGCGGTAGCGTTGAGTTGAACGAGTATGGATGGATTGGAATGGAATAAACAGGGTGAGCGACTATCTGAGTTTAATACTGGACATAGGAGTCTTTCAATGGAAAGCACCATCACGAAATAGATCACGTAAATCGAAGGTTTTACCTAACCAATGTCGCTGTTGTCCCAAAACTCTACATGGGATGAAAACCATCGTCTCATTCGAGCAAGATTTTACTTGTCGTCGAAAGGAGAAAAAGCCGTTAAATTCAAAAGACGAAATCCCAATACTACCCTCAGTTCGGATTTAGTTCATTAGTCGGCTGTTCGGAAGATGTCGTTCTTGATAACATCGACAGGGAATACAATCGGGGCATTTAACATGTTCACGCTAGCGCTGTGGAAGTTGGGAGTTCGAAAGTTATCAAGAGACATCTGTCTCCAGAAATACCTGAGCTGCTACGAGAACGTGAAATCGAGCGAGCTACAGGCAACCGCCAACGCACGTTCGGAATTGCAAAACAGTACGGAACTGTGATAAAAGAAGATCTGAAGGAGAGAAGATCAGCAATCGTGGTCGAACTAGCAGAAACTGGGGAAAGTTTTTGCAAAGCTCAGCAAAAATTGTCTAATTACAAAGCCAAGATGCTTGCACACAAAACCAATTTAGTTGCTCTCTGGCGCCCAGACGGAACAGTTACAGCCTCCAGAAAGGCCTTGGGGATAATCATACGCGACTACTACTCGGATCTCTTCGGTAGCCACGTTCTTCTGCACTTATATGACATAAATAATGATGGATATGTCGTTTCAACTGTTCTCTCTTGCCAAATCCGACATGTCATTTCATCGGTGAAAAATCGAACAGCACTAGGTCCGGACAGGATAAGATCTGAACACCTGAAGAACCGTCTGACAGTTCGCATGAGCACATTGACTTGGCTCTTCACACGTTTTCTGTCAGAACAGAAGGTTTCTATTCAATGGAAGTCTAGCAATGTGTTACTGTTAATGAGTGACCTCCACAATATTGGCAACTACCGCCGAATATGGTTGGTTTTTGTCCAGTAAAAACTCTTCGCTCTAATAATTCTGAGAAAGATTGAGAGAACGTTGGACGAAGGAAAGCAATGTGAAAAAGCACGGTTTCGAAAAGAATTTCCTACGATGGACCACATCGAAAAAACAACTAGACTCATTGGGGGTATCGCAATAGTATAAGAGACCACACAGTTTCACTTTCATCGATTTAGAGGAAACTTTTTACTCAGTTGACTTAGGAGCAGTCATGGAAACCCTGAACAGCCAGGGCGTTCATACTTAGTATATAAAGGTTCTTCTTGAGCTTCGTAAAAACTTCACAGGCAAAATATCACGATTCTAAAACGGTTTTAACATCGACGTCAAAAGAGGGGTTAGGTAAGGGACAACAGGGGAGTGAAAATTTGTGGTCGGCAAATATACCGTTTTCGATTTGATATTGACGTCGTTCACATATCAAACATCAGCCAGGCAGAACGAATGCTTGGTGACTTTGATAACGCCTGTGGAAAGGTTGTTCCTTGACTATATCTCACAAAAACGATGTTCATGAAGAACGGACTGGTTTCGTTTGCCTATTAACGTTTAACGGAACAAATATCTCTGAGCGTTTTAGCATCGTCTACCTAGGTCGGAAAATGGACATGGTGAGCGATTTGAATCCTGGGCGGAGCAGGAGGAAGCTGGCGGCTTGCGAAGCTTTCAAGAGCATCGAGGATTTATTACAGATGGTTAAGAACATGCAACTCCGCAATTTTTTATGCCTTAGTATATGCGTCAGAAACCTAGTTGCTACGGAAGTAGGATGAAAGAGCAGTCAGTGTTAAAGGGCGTGCAGTCGAATGGGCTATGTTAGCAGTATCCCATATCGCGCAATTGGTGGGAGAGATCTGAAGCTCTGGGCTTCGTCAACGAACAGTAATCAAAGACGTCGTTGTATACACTAAACTGTCAAAGATAAGGTCGATCGAACACGTAATCAGTATGAACGTCAACCGAAGGATTATGACTGGATTTTTAGGGTTTTCAAGCCTACTATAGGAAAACTACCTCTCTGGTGGTCGGTCGCATTTCTTCATAAAGAGCCTACAAGTGAGACGTGGTGCTCATCGAGTCGCTAAAGGGAGTAGAACGCACTGAGTTACTCTTGCACATGACAGAGAGAAATGGAAGGTCTGCTGGCGCCAGCTGGAGCGCTCTGCGATTAACGGGACAACAGGTAATTCGGGTGATAGATCAGCTCATTATGAAGCTCACTGATTGATATAGAAACCGCTGGAGGCCTTGGGCAAGAGGAAAAGTTTTTTTTTCCTATCGGGACAGGATTCTTACTTTCAGCGGTTTAAAAGTGCATTGTTTGTTTCGCATTTTTTTCGTAGCAAAATGATTGAGTGACAGGCTTTTATCCAGAACGACGGTGTTTGATATCGATGAATGTGTTGTTGGTGATCACAACTGCGGTGCTTGTCAACGATTTTGAAATTTATTATTTCTTTCTTAATTTTTAAGAGTTTTAATTTTTCGTATTCGAAACTAAAGTAAAATTTTGGAGAGGCTTCATATAGCCTTAGTACGATAGAGAACGTTCTTCAGTGAATTTATGGAATTCTCAAAATAAAACAAGTATTGAGAAGTCGTAGTCAGTTGTCAGAAAACCACAGCGTTCGCGAGCAAGTCAGTAATGTTGGTTAAAAATTTTGAAAGCGGTTTAGTTGCTACAGGCGAATCGTAATGGTTCGTTGTTAACCGTGAGACGTCAAATATTAACTTAAATTATAATGTGACAGGTTTGCTATTTTTTTATACCTTTTAATTCAAGGGCAACTATGACCAAATTGTGCCAACATTTGATGAAATGAACCTGAAGGAGAGTCTTCTTCGTGGAATTTACGCATTTGGTTTTGAAAAACCGTCAGCTATCCAGCAACGTGCTATTGTACCGTGCTGTACATGTAAGTAAACAGACTACGTGTTTTTAATACCATGTTCACCCACTATCTGCATTGATTTCCAAAACCGCCTTTGTGTTAATCTCGGAATTAATCAATAGTTTGCTGCTTTTTGATAAGTACGCATGAAGTTGTCATCGTGCTATTTATCAGTAGTAGTTACCGTTTAGAGCTGTTTCCACCGGTTTAGCGCCTCACCGTAGCTAGGAGGTGGTCCTGGGTGTCGGGCTGTGATACACAGCGGGGAATCATCCCCACGGCAGGGTCTCCCAAGCTGAGGGAGGAGTCCGGCGTTTCCATCAGAAAGCCTAGCTAAGAGGAAAACAATAGCAGGAATTGCAGTCGTCCTGTTATCAAACTAGTCACGTAGTGGCAAATCTCCCTGTGATTCACAAGGGAGACGACTACCTGTGGCGATGACGACCTGGAGCAGATTTTAGCCTAGTTGACCCCGGAACTTTATGGAACGGCATTGAGTAAACCAGAAAATCCGAAATAAAGGAAATTATGCTAGCGTCAGCACAACCAGTGAAGACGGTCCATACAAGTATCCAAATAGGTAAGTTACCATTTTGGCGAATTTCGTTCTCATTAGGACATGGAAAGGTTAAGTTAACTGCAACGTTGTGCTTGGTATGTGGTATTGCCAAACGCTAAAATAAGTGAAATTGGACACTGAAAAATCAACAAAGATTAAGCATTGACATGATAATATTGGTATTTCAACCTTATGCTAAGTTGCAGTTATCTTGGCTCTCCTAGGTTTTGAAGATTTCGAAATCGGTTGAAACGTTAGTTACTGTTAATAAATATTGTTGTAACGACATCTTGTTTGCTTATGAAAGGGACAGCGAACTACTTCCTGCATCATTATTCTGTCTTTTGCAACGTTGTAAATTTGTTGTGCTTATGTTACTTTTCTAAACTCTAACTGAAGGAGTCCCAATATTTGTGAGTAGATCTTTGCGCTATACGAAGATTTTTTCCTGCAGTGTGGAATATCACTAAGCACTTTATGATTTCGAGAAAGTTCGTCCACTACTTTCGCGTTCGTGGCGAGCAACATCCTACGATTTATCAGCTGTTTATTGTGATTGATGGGTTATTTTTGGTGCCGAATTGCGACGTGCAACTGAGGGTGATCCCTCAGTTGTATCTTCAAGGGTGATAGAGAATTAGGTATTTCCATGCAGAAACCTTTCTGACAGTATGCCTGTGATAGGCTAGAGCAACGACATATGATAGCCACGTCTGTTTTCTCACTAGATACAGTGAAAGTATGGAGCCTCATTCGGTTGAAAGTTCTCTGCGTCGAATGAGCGATGCCCACCAGGCTCTAGTGGACGATGGGAACAAATAGAGACTTTACTTTGCATGTTGCAAATGCTTGAATGTTACAGATTTTAGGTGATAACTGTAATACAGATAACGTACACTATGTCATTCGTAACAACTTTTTCAGTACGCGACGTCATTGCTCAAGCACAATCCGGTACCGGAAAAACCGCCACGTTTTCGATTTCGATTCTTCAACGAATCGATGAGAACGACCCTTCCGTCCAGGCATTAGTAATGGCACCAACAAGGGAACTGGCTCAACAGGTTTTCTTGTTTTGAGTGTACTATATAGTAATCCTTTATTTGTTAGAATAAAGTTATACTATTATAACCTTTGGAATACGTATTCGAATACATGTGGCTTCGTTGGCCGACTTTAATGTACTTGACGGCTTAAGTATCAGCATTTATTTAGATCCAAAAAGTTTTATCTGCTCTTGGCGACTACATGAAAGTCAAAGTGCATGCATGCATTGGTGGCACAAGCGTCCGTGACGATCAACGGAAGCTAGAAAGTGGTGTTCATGTGGTGGTCGGGACACCTGGACGTGTTAACGATATGATTAATCGTGAAATTTTGCGTTAGTTGCCGATTAGTTCAATACTTTATGACGAATCTTGGGTTATGGTCTACCTTTTAACCCTTTTCGAGATCTTTTTTTGTTCCCTTTTTATGTGCGCTGCTCTCGTCCACACATTGAGCAAGAGTGAATTATGCAACTTGTTTTTGAACATGGGGTTTTTGTGATTTAACTTCATCTACTGTCTATTCTTGTTCATGGCAAGATACGATGTGAAGCACAACCACAAGGATGCTGAGATATGAGGTTAACACGGAGGCTCAGTGGACTTCGAGTTCCCGGCTGCTTTTACCGGAGGTTCACGTACACCGTGCTATCCATATCTCAGCGTCGACGAGGTTTTTATGTTATGTTAGTTGAGAATGTCCTTTCGGAAAGCTTTAAAATACGTAAGAGCTGAATGATTTGCAAGAAGTGACAAAGCTTGGCGTTGTGAGATGTTTTTCCTGGAGGAAAACCTTGGAAGAAATTATTTGCGAAATTAGGAGGATACTGTAGTAATTGAAAGTGCATATGGATCGCATTTAATTTGCAGAAATTAGTCTTAACAAATGCGTGGTATTTGTTTAATTCTGTCTTTGGTAGGGATTTCCCATTTCTCATGTGGCACCACTTTTTTCATCGTTGTTGATTCTCCTATCAACAGAGCAGTTACAATTTTCCTGAAGCCAAGTCGCCATGTTCATCGTTGAAGTCTGTCCCGCTTCTTTTTTCAGAGACTGATTCTATTAAAATGTTTGTTCTGGATGAAGCTGATGAAATGCTTTCGCGGGGATTTAAGGATCAAATTTACGAGGTCTTCAAAAGGATGCCACAGGATGTACAGGTGCATTCATTGATTTGTTTAGTCCTTACTTTTTTGCAAGATAACTTTGTTTGCCTATCGAGGTAATGTTATCATCCAACTTGTTTTGCCATCAGATAGTAAAAATTCCGCGTATAAACTACTTTATGTCGTTGCTCAAGACAGTGGTCGCAATACCTGTTCCTTCTTTCTTATTTGAATGATTGATTGACCCTTCTTCATGAATGACAGAGAATCACTTGGACTTCGGCAGGATTTCCATTTGATCTGTAATTTTCTGGTGGGGCAAGAGTTTCTTCCCTAGATTGTCACCATATGCAGGCTAGTGACTACGTTGCTTCCATGATAGAAGCAATTCCAGGAACTGTTTTTTAGCCAGGTATTCTATGGAAATGTTGCAATCCATAACTTGAGGAACCTCACAGGGTGAATGGACCGCTTCTATAAATCCCAGTTCTACAGTTCTTTTCTGAAGCAGGACCTTCTAACCACGGTAAACCATGGGAACAACTTCTCTTGGGGAATGGATTTGACCTTTTTTATATTGCTTCCCAATATTCGGAAAGGATAGTTATCACTTTAAATGATCGAAGGAAAAGCCGTCTGCTCATGATTGTTAACATACATATCATAACATGGAATTCCACGACTGGGTGTTGGGCGAGGTTTCATTCTGCAGCAGGATCTTCTGAAGTGGGAAGAAATTCGATGTTTCCATTCAAAGGAAACCCAGATAAGAGTAAACCAGTACTTGGTAAATTATCGATCATATGGAAATCGTGCGGAGGCCTCCACGTTTCTTCCTGATTAGAGAAGAGGGGCCATTAATCAAGTATTCAAGGTAATCGCGTTAAAATAACGGAGGGAAAAAATTGGTCATCGCATCAGGTTAGACTGTTTGACATGTCATCTGCAATGGAAAAATGAGAACAATCACACATTACGGTTTATATTTGGGCTTACGTTTCATAGAATTTATCCATGAATGCATCAGCTTTAATTGAAATCTCCTCCTTAGCAGTTTTACGTGCTTGCAAATAACATAAGCGAGCTTGAATTTGCCGTTATAGTAGCTTTAAAATGTTGTTTTTTTGTGCTTAGAGTTTTGTTTTTCTTATTAACACAATATCGATGTGATAGGTTGTACTTCTTTCTGCAACAATGCCTGCGGAAGTACTTGATGTTACGCAGTGCTTCATGAGAGATCCTATTCGTATTCTTGTGAAGAAAGAAGAGCTAACTCTTGAAGGAATTCGTCAATTCTATGTGAACGTTCAAAAAGAGGTACGTTTTTTTTGTCTCTATTCAGCAGAGTTCCGTTATGGTTCAGATTTAATACCCACTGAAGAAATTTTTCATAGTGGTTAAATATTATACGTACATCTTTCACAAATTCAACCAGTTTGATAACACCCGAACATGGATCCTATAACTGTTTTTATAGTCTCTAGAAATGCTGAAAATCTATATATATAGAAATATAGAAATATAAATATAGAAAGAAATATAAAATAGAAGTATATCTATATATATTATATCTATATATATAGAAAATGCTGACCAACGATTTTTGTCGTTGTAATTCCTAGGGATATCCATCGGCACTGGGTATGTAACGGTCGGGAGTTCGTAAATAATCGAAACCGCATTATCTTTCTTGCTTATAAGTTTGTTCAGTTGTCTGTCGATTACGTATTCTCAAAAACCTTAACGCTATATTAAACTGCAATATATATATATATATATATATATATATATATATACATGAACCGAATATGTATACGAGGGGCGCGTGTAGCGTAGTAGTTGGAGGCGCCCTGCGATACACATGAGATCGATCCTGGCGCCCAAGGCTGACCAAGCTTTCCATTTGTCCAAGGTAGGGAACTTGGTGCCAGACTTGTCTGGGAGGATAACGGCACTTACTAGATACGTTGGTACGCCACAGCGAGTCGTTGTAAAGGCAATATACGGATTCAACCACCTTTAAATGAAGTTGAATGCATGGTGCATCCTCCGGGGATTGATCAACGCCGAGAGCTTTTACCTTATGTATATATATATATATATATATATATGTACATACATATGTATATATGTATATACATATGTGTATATATATTTGCCTCTATTCTAGGATTATAAGTTCGACACACTCTGTGATCTCTACAACGTAATCAATATCACGCAGTCTGTGATTTTCTGCAATACAAGAAGAAGGGTAGGTGAAGTTTATTAATAATCGAACCCACTCTGATCGTAATGCTCATGTAGCGTTTGTTGTCAGCTGAGCTCTTCTTAGTTACATTTACTTTTACGACATTTTTCCTTCTATGATTGTGTATGCACTCAAACTACACCTATGTTTTTTCCGTGATTGTGGATAAATAGTCAAACTACACATAATTCGACTTCGTTGTTTTCATTTCAATTAAATCTTTCGAACAATCGGTAGCAGTGGGTTGGCTATGAAATTGTCTGGGCTATAGCTATCTTATTTCATGTTTTACTTCTTTCAAGTTATTGGAAATTACTTGTCAGCGTGGTTATTTGTAGTGTTATATCCAATTTTCTTTTGGCTAAGGTCGAGCAACTTAGTGACCAGATGACAGCTCAAAAGTTCACAGTTTCGTGTCTTCATGGGGACATGGAGCAGATGGAGCGTAATATTATTATGCGAGAGTTCCGTTCCGGATCCTCTAGAGTGCTCATTACCACGGATCTTCTTGCTCGGGGTATTGATGTTCAACAGGTATGTCCATGTTCAGTGGTTTTTTTTCTTCATAAAGGCATTGATTTTTTCAATCAGTAACTTATTGTCGGAATAAATTGCTTTTATTATCGTATTATTTTCTTCAGAATGTTAGCTTTTAGCAATTTTTATTCCGTAGAACTTTCTTTTCGTTATTGTTGAGAAAAAGCTTGTTATTTAGGTGTCTCTTGTGATTAACTATGACCTTCCCTCAAACCGCGAAAATTATATTCACCGTATCGGTAGATCGGGTCGCTTTGGACGAAAAGGTGTGGCGATCAATTTCATCACGGAGAATGATGTTAGACAATTGAAGGATATAGAGGCTTTCTATAACACGGTCATCGAAGAAATGCCAATGTCCATCGCAGATTTGCTTTAGACGGAGGGCTCAACTTCGATGTTTCCTCACACCTTTTCTAACTATATTTCTATTCTGTCCTATCCTGATATGTTCGTTTAATTAGATATAGAGTTTTATAATATGTACTTGCTGTTCTTCGTTCATAAATGATTATATTCACTATGAATGTGTCGTTTTCTTGTTCAGCAATCGCGAGGTTTTTAAACAGCGTACATTTACTTCCATAGAAAAACACAATACAATACAACGCTAGCTGACGTTTCGGCAGTATCGCCTTCTTGAGAGCCTGGAAGGGTATACTGATATACAATCTACTAGGCCAAACGCTTCAATAACACTTACAGAAAGACGAAAGGCTCTTTGGTAATTACATGATCAACAACTTCTCGAAAAACCCACCGCTTTTTCGTGACTTCCAATGAGGAAGTTTAGAACAGCTGATTATAGTCGCATGTGGTTGACGACTGCACCATCCCACATCAAAAATCGATGCGAACGTACGGGATCAGGTCGCGTATGATCTCTGGGCATTCGTCCCTGCTATTCGTTGTAGGGTTTTTGGCATTGATCCAAAAAGCCTCTAGGAGTTTTCACGCTGGTGTTTTGGACTCCTGTGCAAGGATATTGACTTTTACTTCAAAATCGTCAAAATTTACTTCAAAAACTTCAAAATCAAAATCGTCAAAACTTCAAAAATGTGGCAAGCGGGAAATTAGAGAATTAATAAACTCGAAAACAATAAGATTGTCTGTTAGTGATAAGGGGAGAGT